ACCTCGTTGTCAATTCCTGTATGAAAGTCAAGATATGAGACAGACTTAACTGAATGTGTTGTATCCTTTATTTTATGTTCGATGGGATAGATGCGTTCTACATAGTCACCAAACTTTGAATTATTTAGTGAAAGGACATAATCTATGAAGTTGAAAGTGAACTTAAAGGACAATGCTAGTTTCTTTTCATTCTTCCAAAGAAGCTCTTGTGTGAAGTCATTCTCATGAATGGAGGAATAAGTCGGCAAGAAGAAACCTGGTTTCAAAATAACTGAACACTAATATGGGGTAATTATACGATCTGTTCATTAGATTATCGCACTGTAAAGCCAAGTGATGATTGCTGGCAGTATAGAAATTGATACATTCTAAGGACATAGTTTTACTTATCATCGATATTAAAAGCATTTTCAAAAGTGAAAGTACTTACAATCAACATCTTCTATTGCAATAATATTGAAAACAATCGTTTATATAAGTTCCACACATTTTCTGAACCACAGATTGTGAAAAAAATGAATAAATAAGGATAATAAAGTTTATCAAAGTATTTTGTCCTGGGATCTTGTTATTAAAAAATATTTAAAAATTACTGATTTTACTAAAACAAATCCTTAAATATAAATTTATCAAACTTATTGACAATATGCTCTTTTATTTTTAGCACATTGAACTTTTTTGAGAATAGAACCTTATTTACGATAACTTAATACGTACCATAAACAAATACTGAGTTATGAGCGATTGGTGCATTTTACCTTGTTTTGTATATCTTCTTAATCGATATATGAGATTTGATCATCGGTAATCTTAAATTTAGTATTGGTTGTTTTCTCTATGTGATATTAGGCAAACTTTAACACCGCCACATATTCATCTGCCTGTCAAGTGATTATCTTTAGTTATGCCTAAATGTATTTCGCCTAATAGGGAATTAAATTTTAATGACATGTCCTTGATAGTCTAGGTGTTATTTACTCAGATCTGTTTTAATCTCGTCGCGATTAAGAGCTTGACATGTCGTTTAGCCAAATGACTCTTGTTGAAGACCAAATATGTCTTTGTATCGTTGTGCTAATTCTTTTTATAGACATACATACATATCCCCCATTTTCCTTGAATCATATTCACACAGGGTCTTTGAAACTATTTGGTTATTTCTGAATACTGGTGAGTGTGTTCTTATTAATTGACTATTCAGCTTATATATTGTTATTTAGGGACTGCTAACCAACAATAGCAAGAAACTTGTCCTATCCTTTAACTTTAGAATTCCCAATGGTAAAGTATTTTACAGATATAGCTTAATTTTAGTCATGCCGAAACTAAAACATAAACATCAACAATATCTAATTGAAACCTTAGTTTACAACAGAATAGAGGATTTCTATTTTGTCATGGCGAACATACCATGTGTTCTTCAAATTTTACAATGCTCTTCAACTTCGTATTTTATTTGGCCTTTTTAACTTTTTTTATGAGTGTCACTGATGATTTTTTTGTAGACGAACCGTGCGTGTTGCGTAAACAATTTTAATCCTGGTATCTATGATGTCATATATCTAAATTTAAACTATAATTAATATTGCAAATATTTTAACATTGTATCCTGTTTAAACATAATGTTTTGTGTCAGGTAGATATATATATATGGACTTTTAAGTCTGAAATTAAGATTATCTTATTTTATCTTATCTTATCTTATTTGACATAAATAAATGGAATAAAATGTTTCTTGAGGAAATTAATTTTTTGAAGTGTTGATGTTTTTTTCATACAAGGGATGCGCTGTACAACTATTTTTTGGTATATTGTCACAGACCAACGGACCTGTAAGAAAATCGGATCCAAATAAACTGATTTCGATTACGGATAAATGATAGTAAAATGTTAATTGGCATGCATTATGTTCACATCAAAGGGCTCAGTCGTCTTGAGATTGTTAACTGTATGGTATTTTATTGACTTCATTGTTGAAGATCCACAGAAGCTTTCAGACGAGGGACAGCAAAAACAGTACTTTGTGTTTAATTGAATATTATTGCATTAGAATATTGTCTCGTGTATATATATATACCCATATTGTGAGAATCAAATGCACTAATCTTAAGGGCGTAGAAGTTGACATGTGTGAGAAACATAAATTTGAGCATCGTTTATACTATGAATATCGTACAAGCGGATTTTTATAATGGAAAATTACACGCATGACGTTCCGCGGAAAGTGACGCTTTTGGGAAATTCGAACGCTTAAAGTCGCGCCAAGAGTTAACTCCTTTGAAACTGTATCAGATGCCCTTAAAGACATTTCAATATATTTTACTACCCTGTGATGATCAGTCAAGGTTGTTTATTTAGCATCTTCGAAACGAATGCTTTCATAGCAAATAGGCTCTTCAGCCATGACGGTTTAATCGGAGATCGGTTGGGATAATCTAAACACGAATAGTTACCTTCACTTGTTTCATTTCCTATTTCTGAAATATTGTCAATATGGCCATAACATATCGTAATTATTGAAAATAGTGCAAAAAGGTTTTTCAGATTGACGTTCACCGACGTTTAAACCTAGGTCTTTTTTCATTCATATTATTTTGTGTTCGCGTATGATTATTCTGTAAAGTGGTTTATTCTAGCGGAGTTTAAAGAAGAAAGTACTATATAAAGCCAAATTAGCCCTAAGATAAAATATATTTTAAAATATTTCTGATTTGCAGTAATAAATGAATCTGTGTACTTTAATCAAACACTGAAGCTTTGGTTTAAAATATACTATTTCCATGGGTAATAAAAACATTAAAATTGAAAAAAATCCTGTAAAATGACAAAATTATTTAACAGCTTGATTATTTGATGTGTACATGCTTCGAACAATATAGAGCACAAACGTCACCTAAAAAGATATAAAACAGGAAGTGTATTTTGTATTTATCTATATATTTTATATATTCACTGACATCAAATTATTTTGGGCAACACTAGTGCTGTATCATATGAATGCTCTTAAAATTAACATATTTTTGCGAAAACTTCCCTATGACGCCTGTATAATGACGTCAGAGCCAACTTGTCATCAATGGTTTATATTCACATTTTCTGAAAGCCTTTCTGCTAATAATAAAACAATGTGATTAGAATTGGTATCATACAATTTCCCTTAAAGAACATATGTTTGCGATAAACTCTCGAAATTTCCCACATTACATCCTTGGCTTTCGAATATTCGGCTTTGAGTCTATCTGATGAAGATAAATCCAGAAAAGTTCTTCGGACACATGAAATTTATAAAGTGTTGTTTTCATTTTTAAAATAAATATTCAAATAAACTATTTTTATACTAACGACTTTTGACTGTGGAGTATGTATTTTTTCAAGAGGTTACCTACATGTACTCTGAGGTAAGACACTCTGATACTTTGTCAAGTACAAGCAACTGAAAGAAGTAAAATCAAGCTTACAATCGATACAATTTGGGGGGAGTGGGATAACTGTTTTCCAATGATTTTGCTGCGTATAGAAAACACAAAACAGTTTATTTTCCCCCAATCGCACCGCTAAGTACATCCGCCATATGACATCAACATAAATACGTTCAATAGTCATATTAGGTAGTTATAAATGTACATCATAATAGCACATCGGGGAATGTATCTTATCTAACTTTTAGATATCATGAAATTTGCTGACCTTAAACATGACTGTATTTGAAAGTTTGAAATGAAAACTAGATTTTCAGGAATATGGATAGACACGACTGTAAATGGAAGAAACACTGCAAATATTTAAAAATAAAATAAGAAAAATGCAACGTAACGATCTAAACCAGCAATAATCCCTTTAAAACAAAACTTGGTTAGGGGAGGGTTTGGCCCCAGCGAACATTATTTTTATGCGCCTGTCCCAAGTCAGGTGCCTGTAATTCAGTGGTAGTCGTTTTGACTGTATATCATATTTTTTTGTTCATTGTTTTGTACATACATTAGGCCCTCGGATTTCTCGTTTGAATTGTTTTACATTTTATCATTTCGGGGCATTTTATAACTGACTATGCAGTAATGGTTTTACCCATTGTTGAAGGCCGAACGGTGAAATATAGTTATTAACTTGTACGTCATTTGGTCTCTGGTGGAAAGTTGTCTCAATTGAAATCAGACAACATCTTTTTATTTTTATAATGGGATGAACTATATTGGTTGATCAGTATAGCGCTTCGATACTCAACTTTGGCTCGTTTGACCAAACAGTGATATAGACTCCTTATGGACTCTGTTTAAACGTTATGACAAATTTCCCCTATTTTTTGTCATACCAGGGTAATTTGTATTCAATTTTAAATAAAATTCAGTATCAGCTTCGTGTATGTACTTAAGATTACCTTAGCTGTACTTGGCAAAACCTTTCGAAATTTTGGTCCTCAATAATCATCAACTTCGTACTTCATTTGGCCTTTTAACATTTCTGAATCGAGCGTCACTGATGAGTCTTTTGTAAATGAAACGCGTGTCTGGCGTACACAATTAAAGTCTGGTCTTTGATGAGTTTTTTTTTTAATATACGATTAACATAATTTACCTGTTGAACTCAAACTGATAAACGAACACATTTACTCCTATGACATGGAAACGGACTCCATTATGTATATTCAATCATTTACACAGTATGGTCTGTTCATCTTCTGAACATAGCATATGGTTTAGATTTTTATCATTTTAAGCGGCTTCAAATCTGATAATACCAGAACAACTTTATTAACTAGCTGAGTGTTGACACATCTACTTGTAAATGTCGCTTGGATTTTGTGTGTTTGGAAAAATGCCTTATTGAACGAATAAGTACTTGACAAAAAAGTTGTAAGGCCAACTATGTACTACAAATGCACTCAATATCATGTTTGTTTTAAACTACTTTAAGCATGATACTACTCGTTAATCATCTTTTAAAGATAATTAGTAATTTAAATGTGTACATTTTTCAATATGAAATGATAAAGTAACACTTCCAAAGATTAAGTTTTTCAATGTAGTTTGAAAATAACGTTACATTCAAAGTTTGACTAAATTATATTTTTTTTTTCTGGCTTAACAGAACACGTTTGCCTTCATTACCACATGTTTTTATGATTGTATCTGATAGCTTCTCGTGGAAAAAGAAAAATCACCATCGGTCAAACTTCAGTTATAATTTCTGGAAAGAAAAAACTCAAAATGCAATCAATTATCATATAAGAAAATGTTATACAATGTTTTTATCGTTTGATCTACTAAGTATATATCATGGTATTTAAAAAATATATATATAATCTCATATGAAAATCACACGCATAAATTCTTTTTTCTTGAAGACAATTTGTAAAATCAAGATAGGAACAATTTTAATTTATCTCTCTTTGGAGTAATCAGAAAAACAAAATAAGGCAGCATATACCATTACAACCAGGATGGTCGATGGAATTGTAATCTAAACAATTGGCTAGTCGTCGTCCCGTCCTAAAAACTTAAGTCCAGGTATGGATTTTTCATCTGTGTCATCTGTGTCATCGTTTTCTAAACCTAAAGCTCTAGACGATAGTCGTCTTTTTGCAGTACGACTTCTTAAAGCTGGATATTTTAACTGTCTTACAATGCTTGATGATCTTTCATTATCATCCCACCAATCATCCATATCTGAATCATCTTCCCATCGCTCGGAAAGAGAAGTTTTCGGTATTACCACTTTACCATTCCCCTGAACTTTGGTGGGATTTGCAGTTTTCCATTTAACATTTCGTTCGGAACTATCACTTGCCCATAAATCATTATCATCGCTGTACCAATCGTCGCCGTTATTATCATTTTTACTTTCCCAACCATTTCTGTCGTCACTATCATCGCTGTGTAAATCGTTGCTGTACCAGTCACTGTCGGAACCATCAAAATGAGCTCTCTTCTTTACTTCCGCCTTGATATTATTATTGTTTTTATTATTTTCATTCTTTTTATTCATTTTGTCGTCCCGTTCTTCACTAGTACTGCTATACCAACCACTGTCGGAATCACTAAAATGAGCCCTCGCCTTTTCTCCCGCCTTGTTATTATTATTGTTTTTATTATTTCCAATCTTGTTAACCCTTTTGTCGTCCCATTCTTCACTGCTATACCACTCACTGTCGGAATCACTAAAATGACCCCTCGGCCTTACTACTGGCTTATCAATGTTATTCTGTTTTTTATTTCCAATCTTGTTTATTATTTTACCGTCCCGTTCTTCACTAGTACTACTATACCAATCATCTGATCTGTCATTGGAATCATCACTATACCATCCCGAATCACTGCCTAGTACATTGCTGTGAACTCTAACTGGACGTTTAGGTGCTACAGTTTTTATCGCTGATTTTCTTATTGTTAATCTATCGTCCGAGTCACTATCCCATCGTTCACTATACCAATCACTGTCATCGCTATCAGAATCGTCACCAAATCTTGATGCCACGTTGTTCATGTTATTTATAGTTGGATGAAATTCATGACTATCACTATCCCAACCACTGTCACTTCCCCAGCTACTAGAACTCCGACCACCTGTATTTGACCTCCATACACCATCAGAGATATCGGAACTGAAATCCCAACTGTCAGGATCACGAACCCATCTTTTACCCGGTCTCCATTTCATATGTTTCTTACCACCTCTATTTCGTTTAAATGGCCGACCACCTCGAGTTGGTTGCGTTTGTTCACCACCTTCAGTTGGTTTTGACGTCACACCACCTCCTGCAGGTCGGGTTGGAGGTGGTGTCACATCACCTCCATTTGGTTGTGGTGTTATACCACCACTACGTGCCATACCACCTTCATCGCCATTATTTCCATTACGCTCCCCGTTTTCATTACCATCCCCGTTTCCATTACCATCCCCGTTTCCATCACCGTTTCTACCGTTTGGTCCATTTCCTGTAGATAGAAGTATATTAAGATTAAGAAAATAGAATTTAAGTTTGCAAATAGTAAAATAAATACTTATGTCTATATTTTAAGACAAAGATAATAGAGTAATTGATTGATGACTGCTAAATGGCCATCGACAAATTATACATATATATACAGGACACTAACTAGAAAGGAATGTAAAGCATTTATTTAATCTGTCACGTGTTTTACATTTGAAATTTTGGGGCCTTTTATAGCTTGCTATGCGATATGGATTTTCTCATTGTTCAAGGTCGTTCGGTGACCTATTAAACTTTCCAGACACATTTGGGGAATGTGTCAAAGAGACAACAACCCGACCAAAGAGCAGAAAACAGCCGAAGGCCACAATGGGTTTTCAACACAGCGATAAAATCCCGCACCCGGAGGCGGGCTTCAGCTGGCCCCTAAACAAAAATGTGTACTAGTTCAATGAAAATGGACGTCACACTAAACTCCAAATTTAAATTTACAATTATATACGGATTATACGGATTATTGCCTTTGTTTTGAATTATACTGATATAAATATTGGTTCACTGCAGTGCAGAGTAATGAAGAGAAGTAAAATAAAAAACAATGTTTTACTTTAGTTAAACATTTCCACTTTTATAATCGAGTTTGGTAAAGAGTATATTGGAGGATAAAATACCATATATTTTTTATATTTATTTAAACCAAATATTATCTTTAAATCAACAAGGATTTAAGACCGCTAATCGTTCACTCTTTATGATTTCCTAGAAAGGGCTATAGTTGTTAACTTCTACGTCATTTGGTCTCTGGCGGAAAGTTGTCTAATTTGCAATCATACCACATCTCCTTAATAATTATATATATAAATATACAGGAAACATTAAGTGCACCAATTTAATCTCAAATATTTGAATTAATTAAAGACCAATAAATGTACAATTATCCAATAGATTGAAGTTAAGATAATAATGTCAATGGACAAATTAGAAAACGATCTCAACTTGTTGATAAATAAAAGTGACTTGTTTTAGATAGTAATAGTTGTTAATTGACAGCATCTACCCAACTGTATAGGCGTTCGAAGAAACGTCGAAACGTCGACATGGAATTGAATATATGGGGTTCTTTGTTATGCTGAATCTAACCATGTGTTTAAATGTTTTATTTGTGGGCCCCGCTATCAAATTGGTTCATATTGAGGTCAAAAGGGTCGACATGGAATCTTAAAGACAATAATCAGCCGGCTAATGACCCGTGGGTATGTAGTGTTTCATGAGTCAACATTGGCGGAGTATTTGTCTTATTCCATTACTGTACGATGTATATTAATAAAATTTAAATATAATGTTTTAGACAAATATGTGATAGATTATTATTATTCTATTATAAAATTGAGAATGGAAATGGGAAATGTGTCAAAGAGACAACAACCCGACCAAAGAGCAGAAAACCGCCGAAGGCCACAATGGGTCTTCAACACAGCAAGAAAAGCCGCACCCGGAGGCGGTCTTCAGCTGGCCCCTAAACAAAAATGTGTACTAGTTCAATGAAAATGGACGTCACACTAAACTCCAAAACATATAAATGAACTAAAATATTATATATACTTTTGAATAGCTTGGTATATTTGAACCGAAAGAATTATTAATAACTGTGTTTTACTGGTTACCGGATTCTCACCGAATTAACTCTCCTTTTTAAGTTTTTACGATCATCTTTTCGCGTCTCCACATTTATTTATATTTACTAGTACATTAAATGTTTTTCAATTTACATTAAATGTTTTTTATGTATGAAAAATATATACGTACATATAACAAAAACTACAACACTATCTGTATAAATACCTGCATCAATATAAACTATGAATAAAGTTAGAATCCATATCACAGCCAACTTTCCCATTATGAAAGATTTGCTATTCACAGTATAAGTCTTCGTAACGTCCTCATGCAAATGTTACCTGACACTAAATGTCCTTTTATAACTCATTAGAGATATGTGTATACTTAATTAAACAAAAAATATATTATATGCATGTACAAAATTAATTACTATTTATTACATTAATATCTGTACGTTTACCTAGTAGTGATAACTTATTCAGAAAGTGCGAAAATCGTGATCAAATGATGATGTAATACAAATAGATTTCTCAAAACTCATCTACCAGATTCATTTTAAATATTTTGTGAAAGTATCCACTGAAGAAGCATCTATTTCACAATGAATTTAAGATATGTTACTGCTATCAGATAATAAATGTCTAATGCCATTGATGTGCCTAAATTTTCAATTGTTTTTGGATCCATAACTAATTAACTTTAGCGAGCCTACAGGTGTTTTAACTCTGCAGGTAAAACAATTTATTCAGTTCTATTGAAACAACTACATTATAACCATCACATCCTTGCCCTTTGGTATTTGCCCTTTGGTATTTGCCCTTTGGTATTTGGTGTATAGTTTTCTAATTGGCAATTATACCACATCTTATTATTTTTATATTTTTGAATGAATTTATCATTCTGATATCAAAACAATTATCAGATTAAGATAGAAGATGAGAAACATGAATACCAGACAGCTTTTGAATAAAAGTTCTTTACTATGCATTTTAGGTAAAATGAAATTTATGCAAAATACCACCTCATACTGTATATATACGCACCTAATGTTGACTTGTGTACGGAAATATGGTCATACGTGAGAGAAATATGGTCATACGTGAGAGAAATATGGTCATACGTGAGAGAACTATGGTCATACGTGAGAGAAATATTGTCCTACGTGAGAGAACTATGGTCATACGTGAGAGAACTATGGTCATACGTGAGAGAAATATGGTCCTACGTGAGAGAAATATGGTCATACGTGAGAGAACTATGGTCCTACGTGAGAGAACTATTGGAATACTTTGGGTCTTTTCTGTCTTTTCTCAACACACAATGTCTGACTCTAAAAATAATGCATTATTTTACATTGATGTCTTTTTAGCCCTTAACTGCAGACAGAATCATGTGATTCTAATTATTTCTTAATTTTCTGCTAATCAAAATATGTTATTGATAGTCTTTGTCCTGTAATGGACTTTTTACAAAACAGTTTGCAATATGAGAACATAAATTATATTTAGATCTGATAATAAAACTACATGTATCTTAATGATGTTATAATTAGAACTTCAAGATGCTGTCATATAAGTTTTGAGATGTTCCCTGAGGCTCAAACGCTTAGCTGCAAGATTATTTATTGTAATAAAGGTACGCTGTCATTTTGTACATCCTTGTCAATAAATAACATGTTCACCTGCTGTCTGTTTATATGTTCGTCATGTGCTACAGTGAACTACTTACTTTATAAAACAAAAGAAAAAAACATCTTGAGAGACTATTAAAAGTGTGGTTTAAACACCAAAATTAATAAATAAGTACAATACACGTTATCACGGTGAAAAAAAAAAAATATTTAACTTTAGCTTCAAAATGAAGATTTTCACATTTTTTGGTCATTTTAGAGTCTTGAACAATTATTCTGTCGTAATATATCTTATTGCTTTTATCATTTGGAACATTTGTGTTAAGTGAAGTATTTTGATAGTTATTTGAAAATAGGATGGAGCTGGGTTGATCATGTGCTTATCATGGTGAGTTAATAAAAAGAAAAGCATGTCATTTTGAAAAAGTGAAATAATGAAGGGATTCATTAGGAAGAACCATTTCGTTGACTGATCCCCCCCCCCCCCCCAAAAAAAAATTATTCTTATGAAAGAAAAACAATGATCACATGTATTTTAATCTATGGCATGAAATCAAACAGACAGAAAAATCGTCTTTGTACTATTCTAGCTTGTCTGTCTATTCATATTAATGTGTATGTTTATATCGGGTGTCTTAGGGAGTTTTCTTGATGGTTTATTAAATGGCGTCTAAAAAAACTTAGTTTCTGTATAGAGGAGCATTAGCTACAAAACTCCAAAACCAAAACACCAAATTGACAGAAACTCTTTAATTTGATTTATAACGTACTTAAATATCAACCCGAATTACAAAAGATTCATAGGGAAATCATAAACAATGCATGAAATCTTTATAAAGAATTAGCATTCCGTGTGTATTATAGGACTAGACGCCATATAATTAGCCACCGAGAAGGCTTCCTAAGACTGCCACGACTGCCGATGGTCATGTGACCCGATATAAACATACACATTAATATAGATAGAAAGACAAGCACGTACAATAGTATAATGCCGTTTATTTTTTATGTCTGTTTGATGATTTAAAAACATATGATCATTGTTTTAGTTCTATATGAATCATTTTTTCTGGGCCGAATTAATCAACTAAATCGTTCTCAATGGCGAATCCCTTCATTATTTCATGTTTTTCAATTTTGACATGCTTTTCTTTTTATTAACTCATTACGATGAGCACCAACTAATCATCAAATATAAAGGTTGCTTGAATACGTTCTCAAATGAGGTCGAGATGCTATAATATGTCAGCAACGTTTCTGCGCTTAGTTTTACTAAATTGAACAAAAGTGGCTGCTAAAAGCATTTTATTAATTCAATATTCTGCTTTAATCAATGTTTGATACACATACACATTATGTAATCGTAATATAATGTTTTGTACAAATTGTAGCTAAATTGAAATACAAATGTTTGTCTGAGGAAAAAAACATGGCCACCTCCTCCCTCCAACAAAATATGAATTGTCGGTACCTTAATCCATCAGCAATAAAAGTACACATGCTTAAAAATAATTGTGAAACAATGAGAGACAGTGAGAATCAGACGTGAATTCAAAAACAAAATCTCACTACATACATTCAAAAGTTGTTCATCATATCAAGTAAAATTAACATATTCGTTCGTTCGAATTGATCAAGTTACATTTGTCATTGTGGGGACTTTTATATATTGCTCATTGTTTAACTTTTCCGTCATTTAGTCTCTGGTGGAGAGTTGCCTTATTAGAAATAATACCATATCTTCTCATTTTCATATTAAACTTTTCGACATTATACACACTTACTAATTCTTTTAGATCAATCCCTCAAACAATTATTTTGTTATATTATATTTTATGTATCATATAATCAAAATGTTTGATAAACAGAATTGATCGGCCTTTTTTGCTTGCTGCAACGAACTGAAAAATGTAAAAATCTCCTGTCCCTGCGTTTTTTGTTGTGTACATGTTTTTGCTAGATATTGTATCGTAAAAAATGGAGCAATTGTTACCAGGCAATACTTTTCGTTTATTGTTTTGTACATAAATTAGACCGTAAATTTTCATTTAAAGTGATTTGGAATTGTCATTTCGGGTCTTTTATAGATTACTATGCGATATGAGGTTTGCTCTTGGTTGAAATCCGTCCGTTGCAATTGCTTACATCCAAGTCAATTGTCCTCTGTTGGATAGCTGTCTTATTGACAATTATATCATCTTCTTATTCTTCTATCATTTTTTTTTAATGTATAAAATATGAACTTTTCCACACAACTGTGTACAACAATATGTGAATATATACATGATCCTGCATTGACTTTTTTGTTCTGTTTGCATGCCATACAAAGTGTATCCATGATCAATGGAAGTTGTTGTATAAAAGTGTATAGACAAGAAAAACGACAGTCACAAATGAAAACAAGAAAATATGGAATGATTTAGGTCACAATTCAAACCGAAGAGTAAGCCAAAAATAAATAAGAACAGGAAATATCATCGTGAAATGATATCTATGCAATGTATCTTTGCAATGATACAGAACATTGTGTACTAAGGGAGAATATTCAATCTTACTGAAACGAAAACAAAGTATCTCCTTTCAATCAATTTTGATAAAATTTGTTTTATCAATGACTTTAAGTATAAGGAGATGTGGTTTGATTGCCAATGAGACAACTATCCATATGGGCCACTGTCACTGTACGTCCTTGGACAATGAGAAAAACCTACATAGTATAAAGTCGGTTATAAAAGGTCCTGACATGAAAAACGTAAAACAAGAAAACAAGAAAACTAACGACCTAAATTAAAAATGAGACCATGCCCGGTTTTTTGGTAAGGTTCGTGTTTTTATTTCTTTAGTTTTCTATGTCTTGTTTAGTGTAATGTTGTTTGTCTTTTGGTTTTTTGTCTTTTTTTTTTTTGCCATGGCGTGGTCAGTTTATTTTCGATTTTTGAGTTTGAATATCCCTTTGGTATCTTTCGCCTCTCTTTTATAACAAAACAATGAACAAAAAACAAATATGACAGACCTGAACCAATGACAACCAGTGATTAGATTCAATTTCAGTTAGATGATATGATGATTTAACTTTTGTTGTTATGTGCTACCACATTTATCAATTTTACTTAAATAATAAAGGATTTCCTTTCTGTAAAAACCATAGTGGGAACAAATTATTGACATAGATAAGGTGTATACATTTCTTGGTATCGTCTTTCTTCTGGTCAATTCCGAAACGCCATTCCTATATCTTTTTACTGAAAACTTGAAAAAGTTATTAAATTTTCAGTTTAAGCGTGTCGATAAATGAAAAAAAACTAAAAAAAGGAAAACACAATACATTTTAATAGCTTTATATATAATGACAAGTAACTCCTAAAAATCAAATATTACATGGGCCAAGATAAAATAAACAACTGCACCAGAAGAGCATGATACGTCCTTCATTTGTATACTTAACTTAATATTGCAAGAATAAAAAAAGAAATATAAAAAAAATACCAAACTCCCATGAAAATTCAAATAGAAAAGTTCCTTATCAAATGGCAAAATCAAGCGCTCAAACACATCAAACGAACGGAAAACAAGTGTCATATTCTTGACTTGGTACAGGCATTTCCTCATGTAGAAAATGTTGGATTAAACCTAAAAGGGTTTTAATCAGAAGTCAGTAAAATGGCCTATAGTAAAATGTTGCATGATGATGTCCTATGACACACAAATACTGTTTAAAATATGATTATAAAAAGGTCCTACTCTAGAACATGAAACCAGAAAATTTTAAAAACCCAACAACCATGCGAAGATTGTAGTAATTTGATGTTAACCTACTACAGTTTACTAGTGCGTGATAGTGAAAAAATAACCTTAAATCCGAAGGTTAATATCCAATAACTTTGAAATAAAAAATCGTAAAATTTTCAAAATCTAAAGATATCTTACTGTCATCAATTCCAACAACTGTGTAAAGTTTCAAGTTAACCTATCAAAACAAAACACCTAAACCAAGAAAAACAAGTGGATATAGGAATATTAGCGAATGCGCCATCAAACTCCATCATTACGGAATCCAGGGTAACACACGTAGTTGGAGAGACAGTTTCACTAAAGACAGACAACAACAGGTTATAGTAGACAACGCAACGTCGTACACAGCGCCAGTAACATCAGGTGTTCCACAGGGGAATGTGCTTGGACCCACATATTTTTTTTTATTTACATCAACGACATTCCAGATGGTGTAGCATCAACTATCAGACTGTTCACGGATAATTGTGTCATCTGTAGACCCATAAAGCTCAATGTAGAACAAATATTACTTCAAATAGTCCTGGATACAGTAGTGCAATGGAGCAAAAAAAGCAAATAGAGTTTACCTTTAACGTCAAGAAATGTGCCATCATAAAATTTACAACATCAACTAAGAAGAGACTGTACCAATATACCATGAAAGATGAGTCATTAGACATGGTACGCCACCATCCGAATCTAGGCGTTGAGCTCAGTGACCCTAAAGTATCATCTGCACATTGACAACATCTGCAAGAAAGCTTCAAGTGTATTGGGGTTTTTGAAGCGGAACCTAAAACATTGTCTAACAAAGTTAAAATAAGACCATACCAAAGTCTAGTCCGACCGATGTAGAGTATGCAACACGGAGCCCACAACAGAAAACCCAGATCAAACAAGTAGAGCAGGTACAGTGGAATGCTACCATATTTGTTATGAACCAACAATACAAACCAGAGAAGCCAATCAGTGTAAAATAAATGGTTCAAAACCTCAACTGGAACAAAGAAGAACCAGGACAGATGTCACCCCATCTGCAAAATAGTCCGCCAACTTATAGCTACACCAGTACTCTACATTCCAATACAAGCTACTGTAATAAGAACTAGAAACAGCCACAGTTTAAAATTCTTGCCATACCACTGCAGAATCAACATATACCAACATTCATTTATCCCTAGAACAGTTACCGCCAGGAACACTCAGTATCGGTTGTGTTCATCCTTCCAGGAGCACCAACCAAGACGAACCAATTTTTGTATAGTGTACATTCTTTTATGAGATATTTTAATCAACGGTGCTACATTTTTTTTTATTGGATTGTTTGCGCACATGACACTACTCACATGCACAGAAGTCCTCGTTATTAGATTCCAGTATGGATTTTGACGAGTAATGAAGTTGAAGTTAGTGTACAACATGTGAAAAATTACTAAAATCTGACAATTAAAGTCCCGTTACTCTGGAATGAGAAACCAAATAATATTTAAAATCAAAATGCAGTTTTGTTTAGTTAAACGACAAAATGGGGTAAGGTTGTGAGAAAATCAATCCCAAGTAAGTGCACAATATATACAAAATGCCTAAAATCTGAACGGTTAAAGTGCCAAAACTCTAGAACCACAAATAATAAAAAAAAAAAAAATCCAAAGAGAACTTTCTTTAATTTATCCAAAAATAATAAGGTAAGTAAATTGATAAAGCAAACTTTAGTTAGTGTACAATATGTGAACAATTGCTTTGAATATGACAGTAAAAGTCCCGTATGGAATGGCAGGCCAAATCAAATTTCAAAATCGATACGGAACTTTTTTCAATCAATCCTAATATTGTGTTAAAATTTCAGTAGAAATTGTTAAGGCAAATATCAGTTATTATATGATATGACGATATCTAGACATACTAACGGATAGACAGACGAACGTACGGATGGACGGACTGACAACGGTATACCATAATACGTTCCGCCCTTATTGGTTTTATTGGAAGACAAATGTCTAACCTAAATATGAAAACAAATGACAATCACTGGTTTCAATAATATTTTTATACTCTTACTTTTAGTCTCCTTAAATACATAATCTAAAAGAGAGGTGAAAGATACCAAAGGGACAATGATCACAATTTCTGGTAATCACATTCTGAATACTATAAGGAGGCGAAATAACAAGGTCTAACATACACTAAATATATTCAAGTATCATTAACAAAGCTTTACAGGAAAAAGCTTTAATGTTTTTATCTTGCATACATTGCAAATATATAAATAAATATATAAAAGAATAACAAAAATACCAAACTCCGAGGCAAATTCAAAAAGGGGGAAGTCCATAAAAACTGACAAAATCAATCGCTATCAAGCAACGGAAAAAGTAAAAAGTAACTGCCATATTCCTGACTTGATACAGGAATTTTCCGACGAAAATTGTGGGATAAACCTGGTTTTAAAGCTAGCTAAACCTCCCACTTGTATGAAAGTTGTTTATAGATCTGTTATATTGTTTCATAAGGGCGAAACTATATTACAACAATTTGAATGGTTTTCTATATAAAAAAAAACAATATAACCAACTCTTTATAAGTGATATAGGATATTAAGCAAACTTTCATCAATCATTAAAACAAATCCTACGAAAGTCACTAAAGGTAATAAACATAAGAATAACAATAACCTCCCCGCCACCCAAACACACAGAATAATACAAAAAAAAAACACTCAAAAAAGTTGACGCCGATGGAAATAGTAACAGAATGCAAAAATCCGAAATAAACTTATAAAAGTATAACACAATACCTATGGCCAACTATATGTATGCCTGGAGTGTTGGATAATAGAATGCATCTTACCTATGGCCAACTACATGTATGCCTGGAGTGTTAGATAATAAAATTCATCTTACCTATGGCCAGCTACATGTATGCCTGGAGTATTGGATAAAAGAATTCATCTTACCTATGGCCAACTACATGTATGCCTTGAGTGCCTGGAATGTTGGATAATAGAATTCATCTTACCTATGGCCAACTACATGTATGCCTGGAGTGCCTGGAGTGTTGGATAATAGAATTCATCTTACCTATGGCCAACTACATGTATGCCTGGAGTATTGGATAATAGAATTCATCTTACCTATGGCCAACTACATGTATGTCTGGAGTGTTGGATAATAGAATTCATCTTACCTATGGCCAACTACATGTATGCCTGGAGTGTTGGATAATAGAATTCATCTTACCTATGGAATTCATCTTACCTATGGCCAACTACATGTATGCCTGGAGTGTTGGATAATAGAATTCATCTTACCTATGGCCAACTTCATGTATGCCTGGAGTGTTGGATAATAGAATTCATCTTATCTATGGCCAACTACATGTATGCCTGGAGTGTTGGAATTCATCTTACCTATGGCCAACTACATGTATGCCTGGAGTGTAGGAATTCATCTTACCTATGGCAAACTACATGTATGCCTGGAGTGTTGGATGATGAAATTCATCTTAACTATGGCCAACTACATGTATGCCTGGAGTGTTGGATAATAGAATTCAACTAACCTATGGTCAACTACATGTATGCCTGGAGTGTTGGATAATAGAATTCATCTTACCTATGGCCAACTACATGTATGCCTGGAGTGTTGGATAATAGAATTCATCTTACCTATGGAATTCATCTTACCTATGGCCAACTACATGTATGCCTGGAGTGTTGGATAATAAAATTCATCTTACCTATGGCCAACTACATGTATGCCTGAAGTGTTGGATAATAGAATTTATCTTACCTATGGCCAACTACATGTATGCCTGGAGTGTTGGATAATAAAATTCATCTTACCTATGGCCAACTACATGTATGCCTGGAGTGTTAGATAATAAAATTCATCTTACCTATTTCAAACTACATGTATGCCTGGAGTGTTGGATAATAAAATTCATCTTACCTATGGCCAACTACATGTATGCCTGGAGTGTTGGATAATAGAATTCATCTTACCTATGGCCAACTACATGTATGCCTTGAGTGCCTGGAGTGTTGGATAATAGAATTCATCTTACCTATGGCCAACTTCATGTATGCCTGGAGTGTTGGATAATAGAATTCATTTTACCTATGGCCAACTACATGTATGCCTGGAGTGTTGGAATTCATCTTACCTATGGCCAACTACATGTATGCCTGGAGTGTTGGATAATGAAATTCATCTTACCTATGGCCAACTACATGTATGCCTGGAGTGTTGGATAATAGAATTCAACTTACCTATGGTCAACTACATGTATGCCTGGAGTGTTGGATAATAGAATTCATCTTACCTATGGCCAACTACATGTATGCCTGGAGTGTTGTATAATAGAATTCATCTTACCTATGGCCAACTACATGTATGCCTGGAGTGTTGGATAATAGAATTCATCTTACCTATGGCCAACTACATGTATGCCTGGAGTGCCTGGAGTGTTGGATAATAGAATTCATCTTACTTATGGCCAACTACATGTATGCCTGGAGTATTGGATAATAGAATTCATCTTACCTATGGCCAACTACATGTATGCCTGGAGTGTTGGATAATAGAATTCATCTTACCTATGGCCAACTACATGTATGCCTGGAGTGTTGGATAATAGAATTCATCTTACCTATGGAATTCATCTTACCTATGGCCAACTACATGTATGCCTGGAGTGTTGGATAATAAAATTCATCTTACCTATGGCCAACTACATGTATGCCTGGAGTGTTGGATAATAAAATTCATCTTACCTATGGCCAACTACATGTATGCCTGAAGTGTTGGATAATAAAATTCATCTTACCTATGGCAAACTACATGTATGCCTGGATTGTTGGATAATAAAATTCATCTTACCTATGGCCAACTACATGTATGCCTGGAGTGTTAGATAATAAAATTCATCTTACCTATTTCAAACTACATGTATGCCTGGAGTATTGGATAATAAAATTCATCTTACCTATGGCCAACTTCATGTATGCCTGGAGTGTTGGATAATAAAATTCATCTTACCTATGGCCAACTTCATGTATGCCTGGAGTGTTGGATAATAAAATTCATCTTACCTATGGCCAACTACATGTATGCCTGGAGTGTTGGATAATAAAATTCATCTTACCTATGGCCAACTTCATGAATGCCTGGAGTGTTGGATAATAAAATTCATCTTACCTATGGCCAACTTCATATATGCCTGGAGTGTTGGATAATAAAATTCATCTTACCTATGGCCAACTACATGTATGCCTGAAGTGTTTGATAATAAAATTCATCTTACCTATTGCAAACTACATGTATGCCTGGAGTGTTGGATAATAAAATTCATCTTACCTATTTCAAACTACATGTATGCCTGGAGTGTTGGATAATAAAATTCATCTTACCTATGGCCAACTACATGTATGCCTGGAGTGTTGGATAATAAAATTCATCTTACCTATGGCCAACTTCATGTATGCCTGGAGTGTTGGATAATAAAATTCATCTTACCTATGGCCAACTACATGTATGCCTGGAGTGTTGGATAATAAAATTAACCTTACCTATTTCAAACTACATGTATGCCTGGAGTGTTGGATAATAAAATTCATCTTACCTATGGCCAACTACATGTATGCCTGGAGTGTTGGATAATAAAATTCATCTTACCTATGGCCAACTTCATGTATGCCTGGAGTGGCAGTTTTGTTCTTCGTGAGGAACACCTAGGTTTTGAAGGAAAAACACAAACAAGCAAAACCTCAACAGGACATTTGTTAACTGTTAACTCAGTCAAAACACAAACAAGCAAAACCTCAACAGGATATTTGTTAACTGTTAACTCAGTCAAAACACAAACAAGCAAAACCTCAACAGGACATTTGTTAACTGTTAACTCAGTCAAAACACAAACAAGCAAAACCTCAACAGGACATTTGTTAACTGTTAACTCAGTCAAAACACAAACAAGCAAAACCCCAACAGGACATTTGTGAACTGTTAACTCAGTCAAATAACAAATCAAGACAAGACCATATACCATTAGTCAGATAGCTTTATTTAGTACAGATGCTAAAATGTCATGTGCATTAATATGTTCAAAATAAGCAGTTACGGGAAGTATTACCAGCTGGTATACATGTGAACAAACTAATCAGAATTTCAATTTTCAAAACACAAGCTAAAACTGTCATACCCAACTATATCAGTCCTATTCAGGACCGATAACTCTGTCGATAAATATTGTCGGGTATACAATGTTGTTGAAATCAGAGCAATTGTATTATATGTCTCTGTTGAAATGTATACAATAACAAATTTTTTTACACAAGTTTAACTTTATATCGATTTATTGAATGCCTGGATTTTGCTTAAAATATTGAATTAAAAAAATAAATAATAAAATCATATTCAATGAAATCTCGTTTAATTTTTTACGAAATAATACAAAATAAAGAAACATAAATATTAGTTTGATTATCTTTTAAAGCAAAAATTATTTTTTTAAAGATTTTTTTTTTATAATATTCATATTTTCTTTAAGTTTATTATGATACATACTTCTTCTGGTTTGACACGGGGAAGAGAAGATATTTATTTGTACAGTTATGAAAACTTTTGTATATCACAAAATTTAAACTCTGGTAATACATGTATACACAGGATGTTTAATGTCACCTGGTTGCTTTTGGTTTGCACGTCTACCTGACAATATATTGTTAAGTAACATTACATCCAAAGTCAGAGTTCACCTGTTCGTCAAGTGATGGGATTTTGAAGGTATGGAATATTTATCTATAATAATTGTTGGGATTTTTTTCTCTCTTGGGACGTAAATATTTTTTTGTTCTAAAAGGAATGTATAAATATATTTCTAAAGAAAGATAAATTATACAGAAAACAGGAAAAAAACCTTTTAAAAAAAGAAGAGAAAAATTTTTATTATAAATTTTATTGTTAACTATTTTCTGGTAACAGTATATCCTGGATATCTGTCAAAATAAAATTTTCCCGTGTCACACTTAAAATAATATTTTTTTAATCAATAAATTTTGAAATCAATCAATCGAAATATCACCAAAGAAAATAACAGAAACATCAGAGATTCTACATGAAAATTAAATTAAATCAAGGAAAGTCTTACTATACAAATCCTCGATTTGATGCAACATTTCCATATACATCATCCGCCATTTTGAAAAATCCCGAAATATTCACTTTTTTAAATCGATTTTTGACCGAAATTGCCCAGAAATTAAACTGTTTTAAATAGTATTTTTCGCCAGATATATGTTTGAATATACTTAATCGAGTTGCAAAGTTTTATTTTTATTAACGGAATTTCTTTATTTGTTATACAAGTAGACATGGGTATCGGTAATTTAGCATTGAGTCAACGGAGAAATAACGAGAAAAAGTACATGTTTTTACGTACTCCAGTGACCGAATTTAATCAAAAATTAAACTGTTAGGACCAACATTGTTTGATAGAAATATGTTTGAATATCAAGGATTGATTTGCAAAAGTTAGAAAACGGGTCAGGTTCATGAGAAAACTCAACTTTATTGAAGCACCTATGCATTTTATATGGGGCAATATAATACAAAATGGCGGCTAGTATACGTCACAAAAGTCACGTGATGTCTGACTTAGTTGGATATGCTTAAGTTCATATGTATTGATTAACCAATGACAGAATATAAACATTTGAAAATATATGAGTTAGTATGAGGTTATCATAAGTCTGAAATTGTAAATTTATCGAAATGGCAATTTTTCAATGGTAGAATGTAGATAAACATAATAACTTTAACTCTTTAACTTTAACTCTCGGTGTGTTAAATATTTAGAGACTATGTCTTCATAGTTTTAGCCTAGTCAATTTAGCTATAAAATCACTCAACATGCAACTAATTGCAACACAAGGTTTTTTCAGTGCAAAATGGAATATAGACTTGTACCAACAATATAATAAAAATCTACATTTATTTGATTTGAGAAAAAAGGTTATTTTGGGGGTGAAATATGTGGTTTTTAGAGAAAGAATACTGAAAACTGGAAAAAAAAGAAAAATTGTTATTTATGGTTACAATTTTAGACTTATGAAGATAGGCTACTTGATCTTATTAGTGTTTTATGTAGTCCTTTAGTTAACAGTATTCATATTAAAGTAATTTTGAGGTGAAATGTGTGATTTTTAGAGAAAAAAAGCTGAAAACTGGAAACTAAGAAAATCTCAGTTGTTAATGGTTAAAATTTTTGAAATGTGATCTTTATAGAAAATAGAACATACTATTTTATGATTATATTGTGAAGTCCTTTAGTTATTAATATTAATATTTGGGTAATTTGGGTTGAAATATATGTTTTTAGAGAGAAAAACGCTAAAAACTGGAAATGAAGAAAAGCTCGGTTATTTCTGGGTAAAACTCTGGAAGTGGGATCTTTATAGAAAACCAACATACTATCTTATGTTTATATTATGAAGTCCTATAGCTTTAAGTATTTAAACAAGAGTGCACACGCTGAAATGTATCGCCTACTATACTGATCATTGATTTTATGTTGATAGTCCTAAATATAAAGTTATACAAGTATCACATTAACATTTATGATCCAAGAAAATGAGGTCAAGGTCAGATAAACCAAGCCGGAAACACATGTACACCTTTTATACAACCATTCCATACACCGAATATAAATGACCTATTGCTTATAGTATAAAAGAAACAGACCAAACCATGGAAATTATATATTTACCAATGAGCCATGAAAATGAAGTCAAGGTCAGATGAAACATGCAAGACAGACATGTACACCTTAAAATCATTACATGCATCAAATATAGTTGACCTATTGCTTATAGTATCCAAGAAACAAAGTTTACCAGGAAAACTGAACATTGACATACACCAAATATAGTTGACCAATTGCATACAGTATTAAAACAACAGACCAAAACACAAAAACTTAACTTTTGCCACTGAACCATGAAAATGAGGTCAAGGTCAGATGACACCTGCCAGTTGGACATCAAAATGACGGAATGTGGAATTTTTTTTTTTAACAAATAGTGTGCATGACCAACACAATCATAAAAAGCAAAGATACCACATCATAAAGTGATATGCAAGTGTAAAAAATCAAATCGAGATTGATATAAAAAAAAAAAAATAGGGGCAGCAAAAGGATGCATTAAATGAGTTGCCTGTCCATCATTTTGTATAAATCCCTGTAAGCAGGTATTTTATCACAATCTATGAATAAACTTCTGTTGTAGCAAAAACTTTTACCGTACCAACTTTAAAGCACTCAATACGCATTTCGAAAACTGATCCTCGACAGTGATGCAAATGTCGAAGAGATGATATAACACAAAATAGTACCAAACTTATAGCCAAAAACGGCCAAGGAATTAGAAATATGCAAGTGGGAGATACATTGATGTAGTTGGTCGGGTTGTTGTCTATTTGACACATTCCCCGTTTTCATTCCCAACTCTATTAAAAAGAAATTCCAAATTTTATGACAGTTAATTTTATGGGAAGATTCTGTGGTATCTTTTGTAACTCAAAACAATGCATGGTTAATAATAACTATCATCATCAATACTTTTTCCCTCATATGTGTATTTAAAGACAAGGTTGCTTGTCGGACCAGAAAACAAGTCTGTTTAATAGTATTTTACATCATATTGACCGGAAAAAACATTGTCAAATTCGTTGGAAATCCTCCCTCAGCTAAATATGATTTAAATATATAATACAAATAGAATCATATCAGTTGAAAAAGCACTATACTCTCGTCAAAATACAACAAAATATAAAACAAATTAGAAATATTTTGATAACAATTATTCCAAGTGTTGTGCTAAACAAGCAAAACAATTCAGGAGTAATCTTATCCACCGACAAGCTCCCGCCAGTTTGCTCTTCTCCTTATTTCCGGCTATCAAAATGCATGAAAATATAATCAGCAACAACTAAAAAATATAAAAAGAGACTTTCATATATATTCCTTTACATTCACTTATAATAAAAACATACGTTTTTGTTCTTTCATTTCAAATTTTCTATTTTCTGCGTGCATATTACTATAATAACATACAATACCATAATTTGTAAAACAAAAATTGCATTATAATTTCAGTAAAATGTGTCTGTATTATTTATTTTTTTTTGTTTATGGTGACGTTGATTCTTACATCTAAAATTCATAGATTTAAACATATATAAAAATAAGAAGATGTGGTATGATTGCCAATGAGACAACTCCCCACAAGAGACCAAATGACACAGAAATTAACCACTATAGGTCACCGTATGGCATTCAACAATGAGCAAAGCCCATACCGCATATTCAGCTTTAAAAGGCCCCGAAATGACAAATGTAAAACAATTTAATTTGTTTAATTGTTCACTCTTTCTGTGAGCTGTTTTCTGAAATATTTAGATAATTGAAAACACGGTATTTAGATATCAATGAATTTAAAACATGTTGATGCATTGGCTTGAATTTGATCCAACTATATAACAATCAGTCTATAATTTTATACTGAAAACTGATCAAAGTTACCAGACTTATAATTTGTTATGCAAGACTCGCGTTTCGTCTAAATAAGAATTATCAGTGGCGTTCGAATAAAAAGGTTAATTCAACAACGAACAGCATCGCAAGCCACAAAATTCCAAAATAGTTGACCCCCCCCCCCCCCCTTAAAAGTGATTTATATCAAATTAGATGCAACAGTAGATTGTGACAATATTCAAATGTCGTAATTTCATTGAAGAAATCCCATGAACTTCAAACGGTGCATGACAGGGTGCGTCAACAGGGAAAGCGTTTGCTGCTATTCATGTTTCACTTGCTTTGAGAATCCACACTCATTCAAACTCTTACGATAGAGAACAGAAAAAATTGACAAATATACAGATGAGATGACCTACTTGGTATTGAAATATTTTAGAACACAAAAACATGCAGACATATGGTATCGGTTAAAAAATTCTTGATGGTTTGAAATGGGAAACTGTAATTATTACATTTGACATAGTTTGAAATTATCCACCTGTGTAAATATAAAATAAGACAAAGATGTGAAACACACCTTTAGCTTTTGTAGTATCCTTAAGTTCGAGTTGACTAGGCCTCACTGTGACTTTGATATGAAGAACAGAAATAAAACCGCTGTTCCTTTGTTTTTGTGTGTTTTTTTGCTGTGCATGAACTGATTTTGTGTCATGGATGGATTCCCCATATCCTTTGTTTTTCTATTAGGATAGAAGAAATGCAAGAATGTCATGAAATGTTGGTATTTAGTGACAAGACACTAACGATACATCTTAAAGTGAAATAAAAGAACTTTTTGTTTGTGAGAACATTCTATGTAAATTATGCTTCCTGTGCTAGAAAAACCAATTCAGCCAGTAAGGGTTCACAATTATAACCAATTGGAATACCGACTGTCTGTAAAAATCTAAAAGTCCTGGATTTTGCTGATAGTGTCTTCTGTGTTTTTGTTGTTGGAATATGTGTGATTCTTGCCATAAGCAGATTTTTTCATGACCTTAAACCTGCCAGTGATGATTCGTGTGTAGAAGAAACGCATTTTTTTTTTTGGCATTCAAAATAATAAGGCTGGTAACTTTGATGTTTGTTTTTTAAACCAATAGTTTAGTTTGGTATTTGACGGACGGACGGACGGACGGGTGTACAGACTGTAAAACATGCAAGATATAAACATATATTCAAAATATAGGAATTAGCGTTTCAGACCGTTACACCAAACTAAAGGTTTGTGTCGCTTCCCTGCATCTATGTACATTTTTAATATAAAAATATAGTCTAGAAAATAATTCATGACGAAAATTCTTTTGTGTTGATCTTGAATTGCTGATCATGTTTTCTGTTTTTCTCTCTATCATCTATAAATAGTTTGTATGCAGATTTTAGCCATGTTGAGTTGTTTGTAGTTCTTGTCTTGCAGATCATTTTTGCAATTTAAAGTTTCTATCTTTCTATTATCGTTTTCAATATGATAAGCAAAAATTTAAATAAATTGTAAAATTCGTCATTTAAAGGCAATAACTCCTAGAACGAAACGTTTGATGATTAAAGCCACCTTAACTTATTTGTAGATCTTGTCTTCTGGTCATATTTGCTATAAAAAGTTGCTTTCTATTATATATTATAGTTTTCAAGATAAATAGCAATAGTGAAACATTTGAATACTCGCCATTTAAGGGCAATAACTCCTGTAAGAAATACGATGACAGTTTTGATGTAAAATGACATCAAACTGTGACATATTAAAAAGATTCATTTTTTGATTGATTTTAATCATTAGCTAAAAAACGAGGCTCTGTTTAATTTAATTTTAATTTCGGTTCATTTATTATGCAGATAATTTTATTCGTTTAAAAGACATAGCTTGGTGTGTGTGCTCCAACGCTGGGGGGTTGCATAACTAAGGAGACTGGAGTAGTAGGCATAAAACACTAAACCGATGGTTATGACGGAAAGGACGTTCTAATTATTCCCGAACTAACTCAAAATTAATAATCATTTGGAAGGATATTAAACTACAAGTTTGCATAATACCTTTAGGGTAGAGACCTATATTGATTGATTTTATCTTTGGGACGGAGAAGAGACACACAACAACATTTCACTTGAAAAAGCACTATACTCTCGTCAAAATACAACAACATATAAAACAAATTAGATATATTTTGATAACAATTATTCCAAGTGTTGTGCTAAACAAACAAAACAATTTAGAAGTATTCTTATCCACCGACAAGCTCCCGCCAGTTTGCTCTTCTCCTTATTTCCGGCTATCAAAATGCATGAAAATATAATCAGCAACAACTAAAATATATAAAAAAGAGACTTTCATATGTATATTCCTTTCCATTCACTTGTAATAAATCATACGGTTTTGTTCTTTCGTTTCAAATTTTCTATTTTCTGCGTGCATATTACTATAATAACATACAATATCATAATTTGTAAAAAAATTTCATTATAATTTCAGTAAAATGTGTCTGTATTATTTATTTTGTTTTGTTTATGGTGACGTTGATTCTTACATCTAAAATTCATAGATTTAAACATATGTAAAAATAAGAAGATGTGGTATGATTGCCAATGAGACAACTCTCCGCAAGAGACCAAATAACACAGAAATTAACCATTATAGGTCACCGTACGCCCTTCAACAATGAGCAAAGCCCATATCGCATAGTCAGCTATAAAAGGCCCCGAAATGACAAATGTAGAACAATATAATTCGTTTAATTATTCACTATTTCTGTGAGCTGTTTTATGAAATATTTAGATAATTAAAAAAAACGGTATTTAAATATCAATAAAGTTAAAATATGTTGGTGCATTGACTTGAATTTGATCCAACTATATGACAATCAGTCTATAATTTTATACTAAAATCTAATCAAAGTTACCAGACTTATAATTTGTTATGCAAGACTCGCGTTTCGTCCAAATAAGACTTATCAGTGGCGCTAGAATGAAAATTAATTCAACACAGAAGCATCGCAAACCACAAAATTCCAAAAAAGTTGATCCCCCCTTAAAAGTGATTTATATCAAATTAGATGCAACAGCAGATAGTGACAATATTCATATGTCGTAGTTTCATTGAGGGAATCCCAGGAACTTCAAACGGAGCGCGACAGGGTGCGTCAACAGGGAAAGCGTTTCCTGCTATTCATGTTTCACTCGCTTTGAGAATCCACACTCATTCGATAGAGAACAGAAAAAATTGACAAATATACAGATGAGACGACCTACTTGGTATTAAAATATGTTAGAACACAAAAGCATGCAGACACATGGTATCGGTTAAAAAGTTCTTGATGGTTTGAAATGGGAAACTGTAATTATTACGTTTGACATAGTTTGAAATTATCCATCTGTGTAAATATAAAATAAAACCAAGATTTGAAACACACCTTTAGCTTCTGTAGTATCCTTAAGTTCAAGTTGACTAGGCCTCATTGTGACTTTGAGATGAAGAACAGCAATAAAAACGCTGTTCCTTTGCTTTTTGTGTGTTTTTTTTTTTTTTTTTGCAGTGCATGAACTGATTTTGTATCATGGATGGATACCCCATATCCTTTGTTTTTCTATTAGAATAGAAGAAATACAAGAATGTTATGAAATGTTGGTATTTAGTGACAAGACACTAACAATACATCTTAAAGTGAAATAAAAGAACTTGTTGTCTGTGAAAACATTCTATGTGAATTATGCTTCCTGTGTTAGAAAAACAAATTCAGCCAGTAAGGGTTCACAATTATAACCAATTGGAATACCGTCTGTTAAAATAAAAAAGTCCTGGATTTTGCTGATAGCGTCTTCTGTGTTTTTGTTGTTGGAATATGTGCGATTCTTGCCAGAAGCAGATTTTTCATGACCACTTTGCCAGTGATGATTTGTGTGTAGAAGAAACGCACTTTTTTGCATTCAAAATAATAAGGCTGGTAACGTTGATGTTTTTTTTAAACCAATAGTTTAGTTTTGTATTTGACGGACGAGCGGACGGACGGACGAGGTACAGACTGTAAAACATACGAGATATAAAACATATATTCAAAATATAGCAATTAGCATCTTAGACGGTTACATCAAACTAAAGGTTCTAATGAGTATGTGTCGCTTACCTGCATCTATGTACATTTAATATAAAAATATAGTCTAGAATATAATTCATGACGAAAAATTCATTTGAGTTGATAATGAAGAAGACGGGAGTAGTAGGCATAAAACACTAAACCGATGGTAATGATGGAAAGGACGTCCTAATTATTTCCGAACTAACATAAAATTAATAATCATTTGGAAGGATATTAAACTACAAGTTTGCATAATACTTTTAGGGTAGAGACCGGTATTGATTGATTTAATCTTTGAGACGGAGAAGAGACACACAACAACAGGTCTCCTCATTCAGTACTATAGATGATAACAGAAATCGTATGTTAACAGAAACGTTGTTTTTTACAAGAATAATTCCAATTATATTAAGTACGAAATAAAAAACGTCAAATCTGCTTTAAAAAGTCATCAAAATAAGTACGAGAATCGTAACGGGACAAAGCTCATACGTAAGAAAAACGACATGCTATACATATTAAATAAACTTAAAGACAAATAACAGCTTCTTGAATACCACAATAAAAAGAAAGATCGATAAACATTGGTGCCTTCAAGAACAAGTAGAAAACTTTAATGCGCCAGAATGTAAACAGTTCAAATAGATATAAAAAGATGTGGTATGAGTGCCAATGAGACAACTCTCCATCCAAGTCACAATTTGTAAAAGTAAACCATTATAGGTCAAAGTACGGCCTTCAACGCGGAGCATAGGCCCAAACCGAAACCCACGTGTCGCAAACGTGAAGAAAACAACAGTTATAGTCCCATCTTACATTCATCAGAACATACAAGAGAGGCGAAAGATACCAAAGGGACATTCAATCCATAAGTCGGAAATAAGCTGACAACGCCATGGCTAAAATGAAAAAGACAAACAGACAAGCAACAGTACACATAACAAAACATAGAAAAACTAAAAACCAAGCATGAGGGTGATCGCAGGTGTTCCGGTGTCGTAAGCATGTCCTGCTCCACATGTGACACCCGTCGTGTTGCTCATGTAAGTACACACCCGGTGATAAGTCTAATTCGGTAGGTCACATTCGGAGAAAAAGGGACGGGATTGCAGTTACGACAATTAGAATATATCTTCATCGTAACGTATTGAGCAAAAAAACTTTCGATTACAGTAAATTTAATTTTGTTCCTGATACCTGGAAAACAAATGCCACAGAAAACACTATTCCGGTATACATTGAGTTGCCCATTAGAACGTCCCATACTGCATTAAAACATCCCTGTAATGATCAAATTATAAACTTGTTACGAGTGTGTATATATATATATTAGCATTGGAACAAGTTGTGCTAGAGGCTGCAATCAGTTTGATCTTTTATTCCAAATCCAAATTAATTTTTCACCAAATTCTAACAACTTACATAAGAATGTAGTTTAGCACCTGCTCTTAGAGACTCTTGCATTTGGATAACTGTTTACTAGATTTATCCATGTGAATCAGTCACGACTAGATCATTAATGATTTGAAAATTTGTGTGCATAGTATATATATAAATTGTAAAGTGCTATATTATTCATATATATATATTTTTTTGGTTGAGTGTCCTTTAAGCACCAGCCTCTGGAGACTTTTGTATTTGGATTACTATATCACTTGTTCATTGGCACCAACTAAGAGGTGGATTCAACTCATAAAAGTTTATTTCATGATAAATATGATGCTGTGTCTGGTGAGGTCAACGCTGTGTCTGGTCAACGAACACATTATGGTTTATGGTTATATTATCAACTCATGTTATATTCCATATTTGAGTTTTTCTTTTGTTGTATTATAAATGTTTAATGTGTTACTAATTGTACTGATTGCAACTTCCAAGGGACTACAATCAATCAATAATTTACCCTGACACGGGACTGACGAACGCACGGGCTTCCGACCGGCGGACGCACTGACAGGAAGGTATAATATCACTTTCTATTGTAGGCGGGACAAAAAATCAAATCACAACTTAGCGGAAGCCGACTACCCTATATTTAACTTATTATTGTATAAAAACAATTTTTATATACATACATGTATGTATAAACATTTACCAATCATTTGGTTCCGGTATGTTGATTCTATAATTTTGTTCTTGTTCTTCTAGGTCTATGCTACACTTGTGTCATGTTAGAAGAATGTATATCATGATAATTCAAGGATTGAGATTTCTAACCAGCATAAGTGGAAATAATTAATTTTATTTATCAATTGTAAAACTGTTTTGACAGCCCAATTCATCATTGCTAAACATGTATAGGATTAAATTATGTGATTTGTATAAAGCAAAAATAAAGGAGAATAACGAACTGTATGGTCTATTAGTTTATGATGCAGAATAACTATAACTAAATAAAAAAAAATGAGGATGATTGAATGAAAATACATTTTCATAAACTAATTACACAATTACAGAGATACCAGGTATGTTTAATGAAACAATGATTGGTCAATGTTCAGTGGAAGTGCCAAAATTAATTATTATGCAAACTAACAATTATATTGGGTAAACATTGGTATGCCCGTATAATGAAGTAAACCCGACTTGTTCAAGTTCATCAAACAGGACATAAGATCAACCTTCTCACCATAGATTACCCGGGTTATTGCAGAATTTTCAAGACTCGAAAAAGTTTATATTTGCAAATAAAAATTAACAATATTTGAATCTTTTTTTTTTTAAATTTTATTGTTTTTCGCCAACGGAAACCTAACATACTGCGCTATCAATGTCGATAAACAGTAAGGAAGTCGTTGCTGTAGAGGAAGGATCATAGTAAAATCTCATTACGCGACCGTTTTAGTTATTTGTGACCACGATTTTTCTGCCTTTAAATGAAACAGATGAACTACAACTATAAACAGGAACTTTCACTTGCAATAATTTAAACATGTAGGGCTAATAAGAATTTTTACAATTTGTTTCCGGATAAAAAGGAAATATAAAAGATTAATAGCCAGATTAATTTTTGTGATATCTCCGATTGTATAATAATGGTGGAACACACCTGGGACTATTATACTATTAGTATAATAGTCCCAGAACACACTCATTTTTTTTTTTATATATAACCATATTTAATATTGATGACAACTTATTTCTTACATAATTTGCATTACCTGTGTGTGGATATCGAGGGTTTCTTCGCGAGCACAGCTGGTATCAGCGTCAGAAGGACTTGGTGGCTCTGTAACACAGCATACGATGGGTGCATCTAGGTCAGTGCTCACTAATCCAGGTTTTCTCCAGTTATCTGTGTGTGTTATACTGAAATCCCAATACCCATTAACACCACAACAGTTCATCTAAAAAAATTACGAATAAGCTCACATAAATATCACTAAGTTCAATATTCATAGAGACAAGATATAATTCAAATGACAGTTTCCAAAAACGATAATTGGAGTTTTAATATAAAAAAAAAGGTAATACAAAAGTCACTTGATATATTGATATTTTGGATACAAAATGTCTTATTTCAAAAATTCTAAATTAAATAGAATTCTTGCAATATTCCAGTTATTTTAGGAGCTATGATTGGTAGGTTGCGTGGATGAACTGTATTTTCTGCAACTTAATTTCAATGATTGAAGAAAATTCATGTTTTTGTGCATACCTCGTTTCTGTGTTTTAAAAAAATGAACTGGAATTTGTTAATATTTTGTGGCTTTACACTTCAAATCATGGCTCATCACTTCCTATGCAATCATTGATAATTCATGACTCATCACTTCCAGAGCCATTGTTTTCCTTTTTTAATCACGAGTTTTTAAACTTAAAATACTAAAACAAAAATTGCAGGAGAAACACATTGTCGTCCTGCATGTGAGTTACAAAAGCTCTCCACTGGCATGTTGAAAATTCTTAAGATTGCAAAAATAATTGTCAATTTATTACATGAAGTAGCGAGGAAATACCCCATACGGAGAAATCCTAATGTGCACTAGAAACTATTGGCCTCAATAATATATATGGTTTAGAAAGTTTACTGAAATGTCCCATAATATTAATATCCGATTTTTAAGTCAAAGATAATGGTAAGACGTCATCTGCAATTTATGCAGCGTATGTTTATCTAGCTGCTAAAATGTTTACATGTTTGTGTAGAGGCATTATATAGTTAAGGGTAGGCACATTCTCGCAGGTAACTTCCTGTCATGTGGTTTATTACTCCACATTGGTAGAATCGGGCACAGATATCTGGGCTTGGTAACACCAAGTTAGCATTACTACTACAATACCTGTTTATCGTGTCAGCTAAAAAATAAACGTGCCATTATACTAAAAGAAAACTCTACCCACTACAATGTCTTTTGATAAAAGGAAAGCATCTGTCAAAAGCTTCAAAAGCTATAAATCGAACTGTTATGTGAATTTGCCATAAATTGTTGAATATGAATTATACCCTTAACTTATCATACTTCTTAGTTAAACTACTTGTTTTATTTCACATTCAGTGAAACATATTGAATATCTTACCTATCTTTTAGTGACAAAAATGACATAACCTGTTGCTTTTTTTACAGGAAAAAGTTGAAATCATTGAAAAACTAAGTGACCATATATATGTACGTATATCCCTCTGTTATTGGGAGCACCCTTCGAGAGCTGCGAGTGTACAGTGTAATCTGTGTACACTCCCAATCGGAGTGATCTCAGTTCTTCATCGGTTAAATCCGATTATGACGTCGAATTTTCTTGCTTTCCTCTGAATTTCCTATTGTGACGGCATGAAAAAAGGCGACCATGCCTGACGACGTCACATAGAAAGATCACATCTTTTTGCAGATCATTCGAAAAGAAGGAATAAATTTGCCTGCGAATTGTTGAAAATCATTATAGAAACAGATTCCACCACCAAATCTCGTGTAATACGATATTTGTCCATTCTCGACAGTTAAATTTTAAATATTTAAAACGCTCGGCGAGCCTCGCGTTTTAAATTTGAAAATTTAACTGTCTCGAGTGGATAAATATCGTATCACACTCGATGCAGTGGTAGAATCTATATGTCTCGGGTTGATACGGATGTGATATTGAAAAAGCCATATGATATTCTCTATTTATCTTTTTTGATTATTTCTGTGTATTCAAACCTTGATAATTACATCTTTTCCGAACATTAGCATATTAGGACGTTAAGCAACCAACAATCAATCAAACATATCAGAACAATATTAAACATTGAACAAACTATTAAAATACGATTTACTTCAATGGAGTATATGGTTGAAAGTAAATATCGTTTCAGTGTAATGTGATTATGAGTGTATTTACCTCTTTCATGAAAAACATCCATCCAAGTGTTGTAGCATCAAAGTTTCCCAGCCCTTCATAGTTTTTCAATGACTCAAATAAAACATCCTTTATAGCACCTTGAATCTGTAATATATATAGACACATCTTTAACTTTATTGTAACAATAAAAGATGTGTTACGATTTACAGGAAAAAAATATATTTCCATTTGTGTATGTACCTTGGGTCAAAACTGAGACCTAGTAAAAATACAACCATCACACATAAGGGGGCTACCATTTGATTTTTATTAGTTTATCCTGACTTTTTCTTTTTTGCAAAGTTGCTCATCCTGCCTTTTTTTTTTAACTAAAAACTCCTGTCCTGCCTTTTTTTCAAATTTCATCCTAGCCCCCCCCCCCCCCCCCCCCCCCCCCCCACCTAAAAATCAAATGGTAGCTCCCTAACATGAATTATGTTGGAATTTTTTGTATCAAACTTTCATGTTTTCTTTCTCGGATCGAGCCTGCATAACCTATCTCCAGGTCAAATATGGCATACACATGCATCTCTGCTAAGTGACTGAGAACTATTCACTTGTAGTAAAGGCATTTTTAGTTCCATCTGCTAAATAAGTCCACATATAACTGTTAACACAATTCATAATTTTGTTTCCTCGTATGTTTGTTTATGTTTTGAATAGCCGAACATAACCTTTTAAATATGAGTAAAGGGGTTGAAGTTACCAACTCAGGAATATGACAGTTGTTTTCCATTCGTTTGATGTGTTTGAGCTTTTGATTTTGCCATTTGTTAAGGGACTTTCCCTTTTGAATTTTTCTTAGAGTTCGGTATTTTTGTTATTCTACTTTTTAATTTTAAAAAAATATGGTAGATACACATTGTCCTTCTCTAAATTGCCATGTTAAGAAGGACTACACGGGACCTGCCATCAACATCAAATTCCAAAGGGGAAAAGGGTGAGGGAGAGAAAGAAACAATGTCATTAAAAGGGCAGAAAATACCTTGCGGACATTCAAAAGTCGTACGTCGAGAGATAATGACAACGCCACGGCCAAAAAAAAACAAGAAAGACGACGAAAGACAAATAAACCACAAAACATTATAGAAAACTAAGAATAAGTAACACGAACACCACCAAAACCTTAGAGTGATCCTGGATGCTCTGGAAGTGTCACTCTTGTTAACATTATCTTGTGAAGTGTAAACTTGGAACTGAAATGTGAAACTTGGAAGTGATAAATGACAACTTGGAATTGAGAAATGTCAACTTGGAACTGATTAATGTCAACTTGGAACTGATAAATATCAAATTGGAAAGTTGAAATGTCAACTTAGAACGTGAAATGTTAAATTGGAAATTATAAATGTCCATATTTCAAACTATCGACCCTCGTATAGTATTTGTTAACATTTTTCTTTTCATGGCCTTTTGCAGCTGACTATGTATACGGAATGGGTAACAACAATTGTTCAAGAACTTACGGTGACCTATAATTGCTTTTATCTTACCTCCTATACATTTCTAGGAATATGATTGGTTAAAAGCAACCGCGTGGAGACTGTGTATATTTCATAATAGGTTAGTAGGCGGGGCATATTTCAATATACGGTTAGTAATGGTGTTACGTCCCTTTATAAAAACAACACGGTGTTGAGGAAAAATTCCGAAAGGTTTCAACAGACGAAGGAATTGATGATGAAAAATTGAAATAAATTCATAAAACACATTTAAGGCTAACAAGTTATTGTTATTGTTGCCATTTGTTTTTTTATATAGACCAATGGAAGTAGGTTCTTAATACTGAGTATTGAAGACTTAATCAGTTTGATAGGTCACTAGTCTAAAAACCACATGTTAAGATAGTCGGTAAGATAAATTCGTAACACAGTGTGCTAGTGACCTAATACGATATGTATTGGGTCAGTAAATTCCATATGGGGATTCGAGCTTCGCTCTCACCCCATATGGAATTTACTGACCCCATATATATCGTATTAGGTCACTAGCACACTATGCAACAAATATTATCCACGTCATTATAACTCTGGTGGATAGTTGTCTTATTTGGCAATCATACCACATTATTGTTATTTTTATATTGGAACTGATAAACGTCAAGTTGGAAGTAAGAAATTTAAAAACTATAATGTCATTTCCGGTCTTTCGTAGTTGCATGATAAATTAGTGTCTAATAAATGTTCAAAAATGACACTATGCAAGTTTACATAATCTTTAGAAATCAACCGGAGAAAACTTGACACTCACAAAAGTTATCATTTGGGTGACATGATGAAAATATTTCGATTTTAATAGAAAGTAAGCTTGACATATAATGTTTGGTCATGAGGTGCCTCTGAATGTTTTATATAACTTATGATTATTGTTCGTGTCTGAATACGAAAAAATTACAAGTCAAATTTTACTAACCGTGTCTGGAGCAGCATACAGTAAAATAACCACAATAATTTCTCCAACGAACATTACTATTATTATCATGGCGTACTGTTAAAAAATAAAAAAAATAATTGATGTCAATAATAAGCAAGAAGCATGTTCCTCTTACATCTCGTTCGCTATGCTCGTGTTTGTTGTGACGTTTTGGATTTCAATGAACGTAATATATGTATTACAGGTAAAATATTAAGTCAGGGATTTCGTTACCACAAATTACTATAAACTTTTACTTAATTCTTCCATAGATACAAAGATTTGGTTTGGAAGGTTGGTTGTACCTGCAGAAAACTTACTTCTAACGAGATAGCACGTCCTAAATTTTACGGAGATGTCGTTTACCGAGTCAGGAAATTTATATACGATTCGGGTAAACTTACCGATCCTTTAAATAAACTTATTCTAAAAGGTTACAAATTCAACACTGGAATTAGATCTTTGAATATTGTTTTTATTGATATTATTATTGATTTTGTTATCAGTAAATTAAAATCAAACTAAATATAATGTTTATATACATATGCACATTCGTGGCTCTACAATCTGTCGATACCTGTATCTTGGCCATGCACAAGGTCGTGTTTTTCTATGACTGTTAATGACGTCTTTACACCAAATCCACTGGATGTTGGATGTATACTGAATGATATTTAGTCTTAGATGTATGATTTTTTTATTAGTTATTGGCTTTGAACTAGCTGTCAGTAACTGCGAATACTCTCAGATCTGCGCTTTGTGTTTTTTGTTGTTGTGGAGATGTATAAGTACCTTGCTACGGTGTTTTTGTTAGATGTATTTCTGCTTTGTATCGATCTGATGAGTTAAGCTCTTTTCGACTGATTTTTATAGTTTGTACTTATGTTTTACTGTTACACCACTGTCCCAGGTAAGGGGAGGCTTGGCGCCTTCAAACTAGTTTAACACCGCTCCTGTCCCAAGATAGGAGTCAGTAATTCAGTGGTTGTCGTTTGTTTCTATATATCATATGTATTGTTCGGTCATTATTTTGTACATAAATCAGGCCGTTAGTTTCCTCGTTTGAATTGCTTTACATTTTTTATTTCGGGGCCTTTTATAGCTGACTATACGGTATGAGTTTTGCTCATTGTTGAAGGCCGTACTGTCACCTATAGTTGTTAATTTCTATGCTATTTGGTCTCTTGTGGAGAGTTGACTCATTGGAAATCATACAACATCTTCTTATTTTTATGTGAAGGACTATTCCTACCGTTTGTTATCATAAGAAAAGATCAATTAAGAAGGTAGATTGGGGGTCTAAATTGAAAACCATAGATTTTTTAAATAGATGCCAAAATGTAGTTTATATCATGTTATTTTAAAAATATGATAAAAAGTATGGGTCAGGGAACTTTTGGCAAAGCTAAAGATTGTGCTAAATTGTGTATACAGTATACGGTATGGGGTTTTCTCATTGTTGAAGGCTATACAGATGCCTTTAATTGCTTACATCCATTTCATGGAAACTTTGGTGGATAGCTGTCTCATTGGCAATCATACCACTCCTTATTTTTATATACGCTATACAGTTTTTTTTTTAATTGCATCATACTGAATTGAAAATTTTAATATTTGTTACATTTTTTGTAGTAGAATACAAAAAATACCGGTACCTTAGTAGTATATAATAAATAGAACTAGTTAGTACTTGTTAGTAATCTAAATTCTGAAATATACATTACTATATAATTATGTATCCATTATTTCAATAGTATTGTGCCATAAGGAAAGACCTATATTCCAGAAAACGAGGAAGAAAAGAGAAAATAATAAAAAAATAAAAACCTAAAAGGATCGCAAAAATAAACAAAAAACAAAAAACACAGAAATCAGGAATTTCGGCAACATCATATATATTCACAGCTAAAATATGTCTCCGGGTGCGGGATTTTCTCGCTGCGTTGAAGACCCATTGGTGGCCTTCGGCTGTTGTCTGCTCTTTGGTCGGGTTGTTGTCTATTTGTCATATTCCCCATTTCCATTCTCAATTTTAAATTTTACTTTAATACACAATTGGTAATTCAGATTTATATCATCTCTTTTTTCGTAAAGTTTGGTTCCTATCCGAACATCAGTGGAAATTTCTATATGTAAGTCTAAAAATGATGCAGACTTATTTGTATCTGCATTGTGTTTTATTTCAAATTCATTGGGATAGACAAAGCCGACAAAGAGACCAAAATTTGAATTATAAAGTATAGGACATCATCTTTATAGCGGTAAGTGAAGTTAAAGGATAATGCATTTCATTTTTCTGGTGAAGCTTACCTCATTTGAAAGAAAAGCAAGTCATCAAGCAGAAGGGACAGTTGCTTTCCATTGATTTATCCCTCACAAATGATCTTATATGTAAAGTAAAATTAATGTATTATGAAAGACAAAGAAAAATGATTCAGTTTTGGTTTAAATTATTAGATACTGATAACTGTATATTAAAAGCATGTTATGAAGATATGTTGGAGAGTTCATTTAAAAAACCCAAAGACAAATTGAATTGGGCATGTTCAGTCAGAGATATTTTATGTAAATATGGTTTTCATGATGTATGGCTAAACCAAAGCGTAAATAATGTTGATATATTTATACATGAGCTAAAACAACGAATGAAAGATACCTTTATCACTGATGTTAATGCGTTTTTTAACAATTCATCTAAATGTATACTTTATAGATATATATATGACACAGGTATATTGCAATTTTATTTAGATAGACCTGTTAATCAAATATATAAACCTTATATATGTAAATATCGTATCTCTGCCCATAGCCTAAATGTCGAGACAGGCAGATATTACAATGTAGATAGAGAAAATAGAATATGTACTATGTGCAATAGCCATATTGTTGAAGACGAATACCATTTTATTTTAGAATGTAATAGATATAATGATGTAAGAAAACAATATACTAAGAAATAGTATTGGCAAAAACCATCCACTTTTAAACTTATACAGTTGTTATCAGTTCACAATGTGAAAGAACTTAATAATTTAGGTAAATTTTTGTTCAACATCGAAAAAATCCGTAATACGTACATTTTGTAGTTGTATTCCTTATTTATCATATGAATTTATTGTCATTCTCCGCCATATGTGTATTTTGTATAATTATTGTTATTAATATTACACTGATGCATTTAAAAATTTGATGTAAAAATGTATATTCTATAAGCTGTATTGCTTCTGAATAAAAAGTATTATTATTGTTATATAGTCAAATATTAGATACCATCGTCATTATAAACTGGATATAAAGTAAGAGAGAGGCGAAAGATACCAAAGGAATATTCAAACTCATAGGCCGAAAACAAACAAACAATGGCATGACCAAAAACAGACGAGAAACGACCAAAGACAAACAACAGTACACAATACACAAAATAGAAAACTAAAGACTGAACAGTATTGTAATCTAAAGTAATACAAAGTAATGTCCTACATGTACATAAACAACTATACAACAAAAGTAGTAGCTTTAAAAAAAAGAAGAGACAAATGATATGTGCGCAAGATAAGAAATAGCTTAAATAATTTCAAAAATAGGCTGGTTCTCTCCTTTGCAACATACGGGTATCTGAGTCACCCTTGTTGTAATTTCTATGGTATATCTGTAAGAGCCAAACAGATAAAGGGCAGGGAACCAGTCTTCTTTTATAAATAGAAACTTACGATAGTCATTGATGTTTTAGAATTGCACAAGGCTCCACAACAACCACAAAACGACAAGCAAAATAAAACACAACCAGAAATAATGAATATCAGGGCTATCCCATTCAAATGCTCAGTAATGGACCAATCGTTGATTCCATTGTTTGAAGTTCCAATATTCACAGTCGTAGAATTTAAAAATTCTTTAACTTGATCTTCAATTCCCTTTATAATACCAATATCCGAAGCTATTTTGGCAATAACACCTACAGCTATCAAGGAAAAGCTATAGAACTGAAAAATAAAATGACAGGACAAATTTTAGCATTCTATTACTAAGTTTTATCACAAATATAGTTATTTATTGAGGAAATATGATTATACCAGAAGAATTTAAGTAAAATGCTTTTTGTGGTTATATTATACACTTATAAGTAAATAAAGTGCTATTCAAATCCGTGTTTTTTAGTTTGAGAGATTTGATAATTAAGATTTTTATTATTATACTGTTGTTTCGTCTAAGATTAAGTTCAAATCTTTAATCTGAAGGTTGATACAAGACTTCTTTGTTTTTATGTCTATTTTGTTTATGCTTTTTTTTGTAATCGAAATGTTTTGTTTATACTTGTCTCGAAATTAGAGATGGGTGTATACATTGATGAGAAAGCAGGCAAACGACGAAACGGGGGAGGTGAGGTAAAATGGGGAGGGTTTTTTGTATGTACGTATCATATAATTAAGTGCTTTTAACGTATTATTCCTGTACGTTATTCTACCATATCTATTGATGATATCTTTGTCGTATGATGTATTATGTTTTATACATGCTATTTTGTAGGGCCTCTACAGAAACAAAACTCAAAAGACTGGTAACTTTCATAATATATGATTATTCACAAAATCTATTCTTTCTTACTGAATTGCATATTTGCAGTAACGATTTACTAATTTTAAACTTTTTACTTTCATATATATTATTAGTATCCCTTTGGTTAATATATCTAACAGCCAAGGAAAAAAACTATTTGGTAACTTGTAACCTTATTCATTATGGTCTATTTCATTATATGAAATAAATCTATCTATACAATATCTAATCGACTGATCAATTTATTTAAAAAAATGACAGAACTGGTAAAGTAATTTTTAATGGTATGATTGAGATTACTTAACCGGAACAAACGAATTGATTCTAGTATTATATTAAAAATAAGTAGGTAGAACGGTGTCTTCCTCCTATTCCCACTTTTTAAAAATACTATTCCTTCTATTCCCACATGCAAATAACAATAGATGTTTTGATAAATAATTTGTTTTTATAACAATCAAGGTTAATTAGAATTTCACCTAAGATTTACCTGTATTTTTTTTTTAAACATAACATATTTGGTACACTGTTTATGTATAATACCTAGTTTATTTCTTTTTTCGTCAAAGATATATTTAAAAATAAAGAATAATTATGATAAATAGATTGGAGTAAGATTTATTTTAAAATTTTTGAATTTATAACCTTAAAGAATTGTCTGCTGTACAAATAAATCATGATATAAAATAATATTATAACCAAGTATAATCTTAAGATGTGGAACAAAAGTATACTCTAAAAATATAATTACTTGGACCAATAATCAAAGATGTAAAATAATGGGTGAAAACTGTTAACTTTACTTCAAAGCATGAGCAATCAGATTTGATTAATTTTAATTGACTGAGTTAGAGTTTGGTGATGCAGCCTCCCACCTTGTTCACGTGGAATAGATTGATAAACTTTAATAGACTTGTATACAGTGATTGTCTAATGTATGTGCTAGAATGTGTGATTTGATTTAGTGCTGTTGTATAATTTGTGTTATATTATGCTTGCTTGAATCTACAGTTGAATTTGTGTTATAAAAGAAATTATATATTTTAATTTCTTTCATATTTATTTTGTTTAAAAAAAAACAGAATTCATACAGATGCAAAAATAACTTATTACCTGTCCTAATAAAAAAAAATACTGGTCAATTAACAGTTGATTAAAAAATGTTTGTACAGTATAATCCTTTGTTTGCACAAGTTTTCCCCCTATTCCCACATGAAATATTAACTTTTCTTACCAGATTTATAAAAAGTGGGAATAGAGGGAATGAACCGGTAGAACTTATATTTTCGAGCTAATTTCCTTTTCTAGAGCCACAACCTCCGAGACAGACAGAAACTGGCCTTCATTAGTTTCTCAAAAAGGCCAAAACAGATTTTTTCAAACAATTTCCCATGCAATTGAAATAACTTTTTATAATAAAGTAAAAAAGTTTCTGATTCCTTATGATAAGGAGGTACAGCAACAATGTAGGAATAGAAAATAAAAAAAAATCTAAATCAAAGTACAACTACCATTTTTAATAATAGATTCAAGTAAGTTGTGAGGAATCGTGTTATATATATAATTCCAACCAATTTTGACTGAATAAAATAGATGCAATGCAAGATAGAAAAATCACATACATGCTTTCCATACCAATCCAGTATTTTAGTTGAAACCATTTTTAATATCTATTTCTGTATATATGAAATGAAAACATTTCGATATACATGTAATGGTTATCTCTTTTTAAATGTGAACAAGTATTTTCACAAAAATCCTACGTGGACTATTTTGTACTGCATGCATCATTACCAATTCATCGATTTAAAACTGAAATTTTCCTTGTCAAATGTGCCAGTACAAATAATTGACATATAACTAAAAATTAGGTGGCCAGACGGGCCCGGATCCCAAAAAAAATATTTAAGTGGCGAATAGCCTCGGTCAACACCTTTGAAATGAGCTAGGTCTGGTTCGGAACTTTGCTGTAGGGAGTAACCGAGGAGTACCGAAAGCATATGTGGTTAATATGAAAAGTACGTTAAGGGACAAATTTGAACCCCTGTGGTGGCCAGACGGGCCCGGATCCCAGAAAAATATTTAAGCGGGGAATAGCCTTGGTCAATACCTTTAAAATGAGCTAGGTTCGGTTCGGAACTTTGCCGTAGGGATATGCAGAGGAGTACCGAATGTGTGGTTAATATGGAAAATTCGCTAAGAACCTCTGTGGTGGCCAGACGGGCCCGGATCCCAGAAAAATATTAAAGCGGAGAATAGCCTTGTTCAATACCTTTGAAATGAGCTAGGTCCGGTTCGGAACTTTGCCGTAGCCTCCCTGGTGCTAGAGTCGGCCACCAGAGAACACAGGGTCACAATGAAAAAAGAGAGTAAAATGATCTATAAAATGTAAGGTTCGACGTCCACTGTTTACCGTCGGACCAAAACACGTTACAGAAAGGGAAAACGTATACTTGTGTTTATATATATATTCTCAGTTGTGAAATAAAATATCTGAATAAAATAAAGTTTCATATTTCATTAATATCAAAAATAATCCTCGACGGAGAGAATGGGTCTTGCCGGCCCTCTCACTGGTCTGGCCAGGTCCCCGGTAATGGTTGTTCTTACATATACATACAAAACTAGTCTATAATTCAACAGTCAAGTAACAAGGTTGTCAACTATTTAGAATCTTTCCATAATCTCAATTGAAGGATATTACCACCCTACTACATTATAGAAGACAACAACTTAGTATAACAAATTAAATGACATATTAATCATGTCGGAACCGCCAACAGAACACTTAATGTGCACCTTCAATATCACTTCAATAGCACCGTCACCGGCACAGTCACCGTCACCGTCACCGGTACCGACAACCGTATTTAGCACCGTCACCGTCACCGTCACCCACAACCGTATTTAGCACCGTCACCGGCACCGACAATCTTAAATTAAAACAAAGTTAACTTTCAACGCCTGTCTGTATTTCTCAGACATATTCCAGCATCTGGGTCATTTTCAAAAAACGTCGAATTTTGAAATTGAAAAATTATTAAAAGTTACTTATTCAAACAACCCTCTTCATTAGCAATTCAAAACAAACAGTACTTATAGAACAACATATTAAAAGATGCAATTTTAATAATGTCATACAAGAATATCTTGAAACATTTTTTGATAGGTGGTACACTATTTTGTCTCTCCTGTTACCATGTTCAAAAGAAATTTCGGGTTATTAAGAAAAGATTTAGATAAAATTTTAAGCTTGTTTTTCGTAGCCAATTAGATGGTTTTCAAGAGTTTTAACTTCTATATATATTCATTCTGTGAAATAATAGAGTATTTGCCAATTTTCCAGGTTGTACTGAAAAATGCCTCTAAAAATTGGTTTTCAAAGGTTATAAAAATTACCACCAGTAATGCAAGTCTTAGATAGCAATTCATATTGTTCAGCATTTTTGCTCTCTTTAAAAAAAAACCTACATCAAGTAAATCCCTCACATGTTAGTTTACTTTTGTCTTTATTTCATTGGTAACAGGAACGTACGTTAATGATATATCACTATATAAAGTTCTATCCTGTTACCTTTTTGTCTATCCTGTTACCAATATCAGTATTGCACCTGTAAATGCTAAATTGGGAAGATTAAGACGTTATAACCTTAAGATGAGTTTAAACAACGAAATATTTCATTATGTTTGCAACTATATGTTATGATAAACTTTTTAAAGACGTTTCTGTCTACAATTGTCTATCCTGTTACTGTAACCATAGCAACCATAGTAACAGGATAGACAAAACAGGATAGACAGATTTCTTCATTTTTGAATGCTGTTGTGAAATAACTACTCCCTTTGGTGAAGTGATAATGTTGTTCTGTAGTGATTTTGGTTTCCAACAGGTTATTGAACTTTTTACAAGTAAATTTTTGGTGTAATTAATCAAAATGTTGGTAACAGCATAGACATGAAAAAAAGGTACCCTCTATTTTTTTTCACTAAATATCTTGAAATTTCTTTTCTCTTCACTGTGGTTCAAGAAACGTGCTGTGTTAAATGTTAAGGTTACTTTGCACTTTTGAAATCAACACTGACCAATTCAATATTCACAGAGAGGACAATGTAACGGCTGATTTAAGTAGCGGTAACAGGATGGACATGAACTTCATGTACGCTGATTGAACTTATTTTGTAGATAAAATGTTACATATAATATTAAAGAAGCTACGATTTTTCGTTAGAGTTATTATTAACGTTCTTAAAAAGTCCCTTTTGCAGACATCAAGGCGATTAGAATATTGGAAAAAAATCATTTGAAATGTGTTACTCTGACACTGTACGCACACAAATTACCAAAAAATCGGACTTAAATACATTTTAATCTTATCAAAACAGATGTAAATCGTGTTTATTATTAATGTTCTGAATCATAAATCCTACAAGCTTTCATTTAAACAATTCCAACTGAAATTTCAATTAGAAATAAATATTTTAGCATGGGTGTACTGAAAATTCGACATTTTTTGAAAATGACCCATCTATTAAAGTTTGTCACTTCCCATTCTTTGTCAAACCAACACTTCCTCAGTTCTGTTGTTGCTTTTGCTTTTATACTTCCGACTGACCAATGACAGAGCTTGTTACATATTGATTACCAATCGGCAACCATGGATCACATAAGGGAAATTCCTGTAATGTTGATATTGTTTGTAAACATGGATTGATCTTCATCAATAAAGATGGGTTTTGACTTTAAATTTATTAGTAGATCATCAGAAGAGTTTTATTTGTGTTTATAGTCTAACAAGGTAATTACCGCGAAAATATGGAATCAGTACGTGAAATAAAACTTCCTAACATACACAAATCTGTCGTATCCTTGAAACAACAGCCAAAATAACAAATTACAGGTCTTATATTATTTTCAACATTGGACATCTCACTAACATCTATCGTTTATCCTCAATAATTTCCAGAAACTATATAGATTTACTATAAAAAGGGGGGAAGGCCGGCATTACAATATGCCAAAGAGTACCGAATGCGTAGTTGGTATGGATAATACGATAAGGGGCAACTTTGAACCTCTGTATTGGCCAGACGGGCCCGGATCCCAAAAAATATTGAAGTGGCGTATAGCCTCGGTCAACATCTTTGAAATGAGCTAGGTCTGGTTCGGAACTTTGCCGTATGGAATTGCCGAGGAGTACCGAAAGCATGTGTGGTTAATATGAAAAGTACGTTAAGGGACAACTTTGAACCCCTGTGGTGGCCAGACGGGCCCGGATCCCAGAAAAATAATTAAGCCGGGAATAGCCTTGGTCAATACCTTTGAAATGAGCTAGGTCCGGTTCGGAACTTTGCCGTAGGGATATGCCGAAGAGTACCGAATGCGTGATTGGTACTGAAAATACGATAAGGGGCAATTTTGAACCTCTGTAGTGGCCAGACGGGCCCGGATCTTATTAGAGCGGGGAATAGCCTTGGTCAATACCTTTAAAATGAGCTAGGTCCGGTTCGGAATTTTGCCGTAGGGATATGCAGAGGAGTACCGAATGTGTGGTTAATATGGAAAATTCGCTAAGGGGCAACTTTGAACCTCTGTGGTGGCCAGACGGGCCCGGATCCCAGAAAAATAATTAAGCCGGGAAAAGCTTTGGTCAATACCTTTGAAATGAGCTAGGTCCGGATCGGAACTTTGCCGTAGGGATATGCCGAAGAGTACCGAATGCGTGGTTGGCATGGAAAATACGATAAGGGGCAACTTTGAACCTCTGTGGTGGCCAGACGGGCCCGGATCCCAGAAAAATATTTAAGTGGCGAATAGCCTCGGTCAACACCTTTGAAATGAGCTAGGTCTGGTTCGGAACTTTGCCGTAGGGAGTTGCCGAGGAGTACCGAAAGCATGTGTGATTAATATGAAAAGTACGTTAAGGGGCAACTTTGAACCCCTGTGGTGGCCAGACGGGCCCGGATCCCAGAAAAATATTGAAGCGGGGAATAGCCTTGGTCAATACCTTTGAAGTGAGCTAGGTCCGGTTCGGATCTTTGCCGAAGGGATATGCATCGAATGTGTGGTTAATATGGAAAATTCGCAAAGAACCTCTGTGGTGGCCAGACGGGCCCGGATCCCAGAAAAAAAATTAAGCCGGGAATAACCTTAGTCAATACCTTTGAAATGAGCTAGGTCCGGTTCGGAACTTTGCCTTAGGAATATTCCGAAGAGTACCGAATGTGTGGTAGGTACGGAAAATACGATAAGGGGCAACTTTGAACCTCTGTGGTGGCCAGACGGGCCCGGATCCCAGAAAAATAATTAAGTTCCGAACCAGACCTAGCTCATTTTAAAGATGTTGACCGAGGCTACTAGCCACTTAAATATTTTTCTGGGATCCGGGCTCGTCTGGCCACCACAGAGGTTCAAAGTTGCCCCTTAACGTATTTTCCATACTAAGGAAAATTTCAGTTTTAAATCGATGAATTGGTTATGATGCATGCCGTACAAAATAGTCCACGTAGGATTTTTATGAAAATGCTTGTTCACATTAAAAAAGAAATGGTATTAAAAATTGTTTCAACTAAAATACTGGATATTTGAGGATGCCGAGTGTATGGAAAGCTTGTATGTAATTTTTCTATCTTGCATTGCATCTATTTTATTCAGTCCAAATTGGTTGGAATTATATATATATACATTTTTTGTAACACGATTCCACACAAGTTACTTAAATCTATCATTAACAATGGTAATTGTACTTTGATTTTTTTAATTTTCTATTCCTACTGTTTCTGTACATCCTTATCATAAGGAACCAGAAAAAATAAAAAAAAAAAAGAACGAAAAAAACTATTTTAAATTGTACAATTTTTTATTAAAAAAACGGTGTCCTCCGAAAAAAAGTGGCTGCTATCATTATTGGTATTCAAAACGGACTGAAATCCTTTGAGAATCACCACAAGCCGTGAAATTGTCGAATTCCGCTGTTAAGTTATATTAAACTAAGATTTTGAGATTTTTGGAACGTTTGAGTCTTACACAGTTTTTTGGTTTTTATGCATATCATGAAAATTGGCTGCTGGGAAAAAAGTGGCTGCTATCTTGAGTGGCTGCTAAAAGTGGCTGCCAGCTTGAAAATATTACAGGCATTCCTTAATGAAGACGTGAAAAAAAAATCAAACTTACCATGAAAATTATATTGAAAAAAGTCACGAAAGTACGTCCAAGACATGTTAAACGCATCTTGATATGTATTGCTGAAAAAAAACCAACTAAATATTTCAAAAAGGAACACATTACGTGAATGAATAGTACATTTTTTAATTTAACTGCAGCCTTAGAATTGTGATTCGTCATTTTTCAAATGCTAACTCGTTAAAAGTTTGACAATTTATAATTATTGCAAGACAATTTATTAAAAACCATGATTATGTTCAGTAAAAGATAAAATCCCTACAAATGTTTACTGAGACAACTATAATTGGTCGATCGCCACAAATTTAGTGCATCCCATTCATTGTAGATAGATTTCCTTTAGATTTTGATCCCTTAAATGTTTGATTCATAATCCGTTTTCATCTCTAAGCATTACGAGTTTAACAATATCATTTCGGGTTTCGCCGTTGTTGTTTTCTCTGGATGTATACCTCTTTCAACAAGCCCATTAGTCAGCACTTTTGTGTAGATATGAAATATCATTGATATGCTTATTTTCGGTAAATGTACTGATTTTAAAATTTTGAATAATTCGAAACGCTAAGGTTTCCTATTCTCAGGCATAGATTGTTTTAGTCGTATTTAGCACAACTTTCGGAATTTCTGGTTTTTGATGATCTTCAGCTGCGTATTTTAAAATTTGGCCATCCGACTGTTTTGTTCTGGGCGCCACTGATGAGTCGTATGCAGACGAAACGCGCGTCTAGCGTACAAAATTATAAGCCTTGTATTTTTATGTGTTTTTTACAGTACATCTCTGTTAAGTTGCTTTTCATTTACTTGTGTCTTGTATTTAAAACGCAACTAATTTTGCATCTTTTGATTAAAATTTCAAATAAATTTTAAAGTTGTTATATAATTCCAATCTTAAAGCTTCAACATTGTTTCGTTTACATAATAAATAATTCAAGGTTTTAAACTTTCCTTCTGACAATCTACGAAAATTACCTCTCTTCTTCACTTCTTGTCATGAATGAAGTTTTCCTACTGACTCCAATCTTTGAAATTTTAAGTTAAAGCAAAAACTTAGCCTTAACGCTTCGTTACTTTCATTTTCAGAAAATCGCACATTATAACACAATAATTTGATACAAATCAATGCTTAATTTAGATCGCGGTATATCTGTGCATCGGAAAAACCCAGGTGCGGGGTAAATTCAATAAATTACAAAGTAGGTGTAAATTAAATATCCACCAAATACTGTTAAAACTGCTCGATAATATGGCAAGCCGTTTTACTATTAATTCTAACTTCAAGATATCAAATAAAAACTATATAAGGTATCTCATAAAGTTTATAAGATATCTGATATAGTTTATAAGGTATCTTATAATTGTACAAAGTATGATAAATACCTTCTTAAATAATACATTTGCATCTACGTTGACAATTTGTTAAAATGAAAGAAAGTTCGACTAATTCTTCCTAGACGTTTTACTTTTAGAACCAGGAATGGTAGCGTATAGGAAAAGAATTTATAATATTATTGTGTACGAGAAATGACACTTGGGTTGTATGTACTCTAACGGATTTTTGAAAATTATAAATATCCACAACCAATTCACCCCGCCCCTAGAGTAGATTGTTTCTTATTTACTATGAATCGAGGTTTTGATTCCTGATTTAATAGAAATGAAGAATTGGAGAAGAGGTTTCATGGTGCTTTTAGCAGAACCAGCAATATAACGATGTTCATAAGGACACTTATGTTAAAAAAAAAACGAAAGATGCCAAGCTATAGTGACAATGAAACCGACAAGACGAAGGAAAACTGACAACGCTAAAATCAAGTCCCCAAAAACACCTCACAGAAAAAAAAATATTGAAGAAAACGAGCAACACCAAATACCGGGGGTGAACTTAGGTGCTCCAGAAGGATAAGTAAGTCCTGCTATACTCGTGGCACCCGTCGTATTGCTCATACAAGTCCATGTTCGGTGATAAGTCTCATTCGTTGAGGTCACATTCGAGGAAAACAGACCGGGATAGTAGTAACGATAATTTGAACGATTGTAACATGTCAGTATCAAAGCACCGAAGTACTGAGCTACTTGACTGCTGATACCCAGGACGCCTAAAATTCCACCAATAGAGGTATCGATCCAGTGGTAGTAATACCTTGAAACAGAATTAAACAGTAGTCGCTTCCGTGATGACGGTTTCCAACAACATTTTGAACGACTATTCAGCACCATTGTTATTTTCATGTCAAGGAAATTAAAGATTCAATAATGTATAAAATGTCGATCACAATTTAATTTTACCATATAAAAACATAATATAAGATAACAGGAATGGTTATTTGCTAACCAAATACCATAGAGCGACAAGCATTCTCACCATTAGTTTGGGTAAAACATATAATGTCTTTCAATACCACTAATAATGAAACGGTTGACAGGAATTACAAAACACATTCGACAATACAACAGGCCATACATGACTTTTACCATTGCCCTTTTATCACTGTTACTTTATGCAGAGTGAAAGATACATATAATAACAATTGTCATTTATTAAAACAAATGATGCAAACCATGTATTTTATGTTCACTTAAGTAAAGATGAATGAAAACTTTTGAAATGTCAAATAATTTACACAATACATATACATGCATCTATACCTGTATATGTTATTCAACTAATTTTCATCGAGTAATATACTAATAAGGGAAAGAAAATATTGCATCAAAATACACATATATCATATCAGTTACACAACGGAAAGAGGTTGCGTATGGTGAAATGTTTTTGACCCATCCGTCCGTCAGTCCGTCGGTACTGTTCTTGTCATCGGAACTCCACTGAAACCACACAACAGAATTTCATGAAACTTTGTAGATAATAAGGACATACTCTGTAGATGTGCATATCGCCAGGAAATAATGATTCAATTTTTTTCCTAAGAGTTATACTACTTTGAACTTAGAATTTTGATCGAAATATACTACTGCAATACTTTGTCATCGCAACTCCGCTGAAAGCACACACCATAATTTCATGAAACTCTGTAGCTATAGATTATAAGGACATACTACGTAGATGTGCATATCGACAGGAAATGTAAATCATCTTTTTTTTTCTGCGAGTTATGCCCCTTTGAACTTAGGATTTTGGTCTAAATATACTACTGCAACACTTTGTCATCACAACTCCTTTGAAACCACAATTTCATGAAACTTTGTAGTTAATGGGGACATAATATGTAGATGTGCATATCCACAAGAAATTTTTAGGAGGTACGAATCTTTGAAACTATGAATCTGGTGAGATTTTGTTTGCCCAGTGACAATGTGGACTTTTACAACATTGTGCAAGAAATAAACATTTTTTGTTAATTTGATAAAAATTCACCCAATATTTTAACATTTCTGACATAAGAGTCAACACTAGATTACCGATTGATATATTGTTAAGGATTTAAACAGGAATCCAACTGCAAGCCTTTTGGGTATTTATTCTGCGTATTATAACTGATATTTTTTTTAATTATTTTGTGTAATATACGTTATTACAACATGTTAAATAGTTATACAGATTTCGACCTCATTTTCAGAAAAAAACACTAATGTAAAACCTAGATTAAAATATGTAACCTATGTTTAGAGGCCTATCTGTACGAAGTGGTAAGAAAACGGTAACCCAGAAAAAGGTATTGTGGAATTTTTGTAAAATAAGTCCAAGCGTTCTCGTGTACCATGCATTATGTACAGTTTTAAAAATACTACATGAATGAATACCTGCCAAGTCACTCCTTTAACATTTTTACATGCCATGTTTAATGTATAAGGATAACATTTGTATGAGCCCATTATATTAAAGTTTTAAAGGTCATCGATAATGAGAAGAGTAGGAATTTATTTGAAAAGCCTATTGTTTGCATAGAATGTTTAACATGTTCTTTAACCTACAATGCTAAAAGATTTTAAAGTGCCAGTGTACTTACAAACTGATTTCATGTTTAGTGTATCTATATAAATGAGGAATCTTAATATGGTACACGAATTTGTACAATTCAGAAAATAAAAGCATGCATCATTTATCCTACCCGTCCATCATCTTTGAAAGAGCTGAAAACCGGGGTAATTCGTAATATCTATTGTTTCCTACACAAATCCGTTACTGTTTATTATAAGGTTATTTTTATTATGATTACAACTTTATCAAAAGAGTGGTTTATATATTTATCGTAGTTCGTTACTTCTATTGGGGCCACGGTGAGGGGGGCGGGGGGGGTGGGGGGGATGGGGGGTAATTTTTTTTTTCGCGACATTCGTTGCCCTTTTAGCTCTGTGGATAGATGCACGAGTATGTAATATATATCAGCAGGGTTTAAGAACATCAGTTGTTTGACCTGTTAGTCGAATGCGTTTTTTTACAAAATATACTTTTCCACATTTTTGGTCTTTTGGAAAATGTTGTTTGTGCTGTATTTAGACCCCTCTACCAAGAAATTTATTTTGCATGCACACGTATAAAACCGCAATTTTTATACGTGTGCATGCAAAACAAATTTCTTGGTAGAGGGGTTTAAATACAGCACAAACAACATTTTCCAAAAGACCAAAAAGTGAAAAAGTATATTTTAACAAAACGCATTTGACTAGCAGGTCGAACAACGGTTGTTCTTAAACCCTGCTGACTGCCATGGCGATTGCCAAATAAACGGATCATAGTTGAAACAAAATGGATCTTAATTTTAATCTAATACCAAATAGAAAAAAGCAAAAACTTGCGAAAAAGATGGTATACCGCAAACATGAGGTGCAAAAATATGTACACCATATCCGGATTGCGACAATTAATGTCTCTTCAGTGATGTTAGGAATCGAAACGGTATTTGGAAGGCCATGTAATTTACCTCAATTTGGGATTGACTCTTGAATTTTGAAGAGTCGAAATAGGATGAACGGATCATATAAACCCGAAGGCAAATATAATACAAGCCCAAACGAAAAAATATAAACAAGTCTAAATTGAAAACAACGTTCAAACCTATGATTGCGTTGGATAAAAACCGCAATTTTTATACGTGTGCATGCAAAACAAATTTCTTGGTAGAGGGGTCTAAATACAGCACAAACAACATTTTCCAAAAGACCAAAAAGTGAAAAAGTATATTTTAACAAAACGCATTTGACTAGCAGGTCGAACAACGGATGTTCTTAAACCCTGCTGACTGCCATGGCGATTGCCAAATAAACGGATCACAGTTGTAACAAAATGGATCTTAATTTTAATCTAATACCAAATAGAAAAAAGCAAAAACTTGCGAAAAAGATGGTATACCGCAAACATGAGGTGCAAAAATTTGTACACCATATCCGGATTTCGACAATTAATGTCTCTTCAGTGATGTTAGGAATCGAAACGGTATTTGGAAGGCCATGTAATTTACCTCAATTTGGGATTGACCCTTAAATTTTGAAGAGTCGAAATAGGATGAACGGATCATATAAACCCGAAGGCAAATATAATACAAGCCCAAACGAAAAAATATAAACAAGTCTAAATTGAAAACAACGTTCAAACCTATGATTGCGTTGGATAAAATCCGCAATTTTTATACGTGTGCATGCAAAACAAATTTCTTGGTAGAGGGGTCTAAATACAGCACAAACAACATTTTCCAAAAGACCAAAAAGTGAAAAAGTATATTTTAACAAAACGCATTTGACTAGCAGGTCGAACAACGGATGTTCTTAAACCCTGCTGACTGCCATGGCGATTGCCAAATAAACGGATCACAGTTGTAACAAAATGGATCTTAATTTTAATCTAATACCAAATAGAAAAAAGCAAAAACTTGCGAAAAGATGGTATACCGCAAACATGAGGTTCAAAAATTTGTACACCATATCCGGATTTCGACAATTAATGTCTCTTCAGTGATGTTAGGAATCGAAACGGTATTTGGAAGGCCATGTAATTTACCTCAATTTGGGATTGACTCTTGAATTTTGAAGAGTCGAAATAGGATGAACGGATCATATAAACCCGAAGGCAAATATAATACAAGCCCAAACGAAAAAATATAAACAAGTCTAAATTGAAAACAACGTTCAAACATATGATTGCGTTGGATAAAAACCGCAATTTTT